ATTTGGGCACCCTAAAGTAAATTTTGCACTGGCCTCATTCCTGTTCTGGCCCTCGGGGCTGCCAGCCCTTCCCTCTCCCAGCCTCCGGCCCACGCACTGACCTCTGCCCCCCACAGCCATTCTGGCTCAGGGAGGGCTAACGGCTGGAGTAGGCCAGGCCACCCAGGAGAGAAAGGCTGTTTGCTCTGCTCTTTCCAGCAGCTTCATTAAGATGCAGAAACATGCAAATTGAGGCAATCCTGCTGCTTAAGAAGAACTTACTATGGTTTTTTAAAAGGATAGGGTGAAAAGGCAGAAATTGCAGGAAATCATGTATTGCAGGAGCTGCTTTATCTTCTCCACAGTCGACTGCAAGGAGGCTTCTGCTTTGGGAGCAGCATTTCCTGTGCTGAGAGCCCCTCCCACAGGGTGAGGGCCAGGGCGAGGGCAAGGCTCCTGCAGGGACTGTGGTCCTCAGCCAGGCTTCCTGCTCCTAAGCCTGCCGCCCAGGCCTCCTTATTGCCCCTTCCAGCCTCCCCCGGGCTCACACGTATATTGAGGGTGGATCCATTCACCAACCCTCATAAGGGGAGCAGGTGAGGCCTTGTACATACGACTGTTGACATAAGTCAGAGCCACTTTCGAAAGCATAGTCCCCAGACCATGCGCCAGGTGCCAGCCTCAAGCACTCCCTGCGGATGCGCACCCATTAGGGGAAAGCTTGCCTTGGTTCCGGCCCAGAAATCTCGGAGAGGCTGCCGGATCCCCATGGAGTTGACAACAGTGCAGCAATGCAGACGGGCATAGTGGGCTTTTGGCGAATAGGCCGAGGTTAGGTTAGGGCGGGCAGACCAGGCTGGGCTACAAAACAAGCCCCCGGCAACGCCGCTCGGATTTGCCGTCAGCGGGAAATGAGGTGCGGCTCACTGTGGATTTTTCCAGTTAGCTGAGTCTCCTTCTTTTTAATTTTAACTAGTCCGCACGGAGGAGGCCTTTCTAAAACGGATTTCACACTTCCCTGACTTCTCAAACGGAGGCTACAGAGCATAATTAAACGTATCTTGGTGCATCGGGTCCATCATCTGGGATCTGTTATTAATCTCTGGAGCCAGGCTGCCCTGTTCCAATCCCAGCTTCTCGTCTCCCTCTCCGTGTAGCTTCCCGCCTCAGTTCCCCCACCTTTGAAATAGGGAATCGTCCTCATGGGCTCAGTGGATAGGGCATCGGCCTTCAGACCTAAGGATCCCAGGTTCGATTCTGGCCAAGGGCACGTACCTCGGTTGCAGGCTCCTCCTCGGGCCAGGCCCTGGTCAGGGCGCATGCAGGAGGCCACCAATCGATGTGTTTCTCTCACATTGAAATTTCTGTCTGTCTTTCACTCTCTCTAAAAACCAATGGAAACATATCCTTGGGTAAGGGTTAAAAAAGAAAAAAGAAAAGAAATGGGAATAATAACTACACCCACCTCGTGGGGTTGTTGAGAGGATGGAATGAGCTCATAGACCTGAAAGCAGTGCCCGGCACACCACATGGCCATTCCAGGGAACGACAGTGGAACATGGCGGCTTCCTGAGGCTCAGCCGGTGGAGAGTGGCACGGGGGCTGGCTCCTAGTCCTGTAGCTGCTCTGTGCTCGTGCCCTCTCCTTTATTCTCCACAGGCTCACAGGGCTTCAGGGCACTGGTCCGAGGGAAACATGAAGACTCAGGCTGAGAGCTGGCCCCGAGCTGCTCGGCGGCAGGAGCGGAGCTGGGGTTCCAGCAGGAGGCCTTGGTGCCGCCTGCTGTTCTCCGTCAGGTGCCGGCTAGGCCAGCAGCCGCCCCGGGGGCACTGAGTGGTCCCGGGAGCCTGGTACGAAGTTCTGCGTTCGTTTTTCTCGAATACTCCACTCCCCTTCCTGAGCTGGCAGGGCCCTGAGGTTCTCCTAGGAAGCACAAATAAGAATACTGGCCCCTGGGTTTTTGTGGCATCGGTTGCAGTTGTTTCAAATATGCGTGTGTAGGTGACAGCGGGGCTGTGTGTATGGTTCGCCGATGTGCGTTCAGGTGACCTCCAGATGTGCCTCCAGCTGTGGCCTGGGGAGGCTGGAGGAGCCCGGGGTCCCAGGCTGTGCCCTGAGTGCTGGCCCTCCAGCTGCCATCCTCCCCACTGCTGCTCGTCCCAGAGGGCTCCCCACGGCATTGGCATCGGCACTGGCCCCGCACCTTCTGGCTTGAAGGGTCAGTGGTGGGCATCCTGTTGAGCATGTCGCTGTACAGATGAGGAGACTGAGGCCCGGAGAGCTGGAGGGGCTGCTGGGGCCACCTAGAATGCGGAACCCTGGTTCCCTGTGGACTGTCCCCCCCGCTCCTCAGCACGGGCTGGTTTTCTCTCCCCGTCTCTGATGCCACCGCCCGGTGACTCCGAGGGGAGGAGCCGGGGCTGTGCGGCCTGTGCAGGCACCAGGGCCTGCGCTTGGTCTCATGCTCTGTTGTTGTCACTGTCTTGAAATCTCTTAATGCTTCTTGGACGAAGGGCCCTACAATGTCTCTATCCACGGGCCCCACAGTTTATCCACTTAGTGCTGGGAGGAGCCCGGGGCCCTGGGCTGCCTCCTTTTCCGGGGCCGTGGGATGGAGCACCCGGAGGTATGACCAGCCGCCTCCTGGGGAGAGGCAGGGCCTGCTGGGGATGGCTTAGTGTTAGGGAGCGAGATCTCCAGGGGGGAGGGGGACAGTCCTGAAGTCGGCCGCCTGGGATTCCCTGTGTGGCCTTGGCCTTTGACGGCCCGAAAAGCCCGTGTCTTCACCAGCAGAAGGAGCGCAGGGGACTGCTCCGCACGATTGTGAGGACTCAGTGAGGAGCGACAGCAGCAACACAGGGAGAAGGGTGTCCTTAGCTCTGCGCTGGGAAGTGCTCAGTAAGGCAGCCGCCCTCCCTGCCAGTCTGAGCCTATGCCTCTTGGGGGGCTCTGGGACTCCTTGGGCCTCTAGGCCTTGGGAGCCGGCTCCCGGCCCAGCCTCCCTCTCCCTCTCCGGTGGCGAAATGAGGGGCGTGAGCGAGCGCCATTCCCGGGCCCCTCCGTGTGGCCGTGTCTGCGCCCTTCAGGGGCGCCTCTGTCCCAGGTGGCCCCGCACGCAGCCCCCCTGCTCTCCGGAGGTGCGGGGGGTGGGGGAGGGGTTGAGGGGGAGGGGTGCCAGAAGGGGCCGGGCTTGACATCAGTTGGACACCTCGAAGTTCTCTGCAGTGTTCGCTGGTGACCTGGGCAGGTTACTTAGCGCCCCTGACCCCAGCTCCCTCCTCTGCGAAAAGGGACAGGGCTGTCCTGAGGATAGATGTGATAAGGCTGTGCGGCCCCCAGTGCTGCGGCTGGCCCCCACGGACGGTGTCTGATGAACCTCTGTGGAATGAATGAGTGAGCGAGCGAAAGAGTGAGGGAACGGAGGGACGCTCCGTGTTTGCTGTGGTCAGATGTCCTGGAAGGAAGCGTGTGAGGTGGTGGGAGTGGAGGTGGGGCAGGGTCAGAGGCCGCAGACACACACACACACACACACACACACGCACACACGCGCGCGCGCGCGCGCGCGCACGCACACAGTGTTGGGGGAGGGGAGGAGAGTTCAGATAGTCAGATTCGCTTGCAGGCACATAGCACTCAGCATGCGCCGTCCCCTGTTCTCAGCACTGAACTCACATTAACAGCAAGTATAGGAGGTGGGACCGCCCGGCCCCCATCTCATAGGTGAATCGGAGCGGGGACGGTAACTGGCTGAGGGTCACACAGCCAGTAAGGCTGGAGCTGAATCAGCGGCCTGGCTGCAGTGACCGTGTTCCTGCCTTTATCCCGTGCCTGCCCCGCCGTGGCCTGTCCTTCCAGCCGGGAAGCTGCGCCTTCACCTCCGTACCCTCGCCTCTGCCGCCCGTGTGTCCTCGCGGGCTGAGGACCCTGGTTTCAGGGCGGCGTGGGAAAGCGGGGTGGCTCCCCATCTGCCCCGCCCCCCTGAGGGCAGGCCAGGCCCAGGTATAGGATGGGCTCAGCTCTGGCCTCCGGACCGGGGATTAGGTTGGAGAGGCCACACGGGGAGGGGTGGGGAGGGGTGGGGAGGGGTGGGGAGGAGGTCGGCCGCGCTTTGCCCAGCGCCCTGCGGCCAGTGAGCTAAGGGGCCCGTCACCGTGTGAGGGGAGGGTCCGGCGGGCCAGCCGGGGCCTGAGTTCCGTCTCTGAATTTGGGCTGAGTGTCGGGTCTGCCGGGGACGTGAACTGGCCACAGAGTCAGAAACCCAGGGCTCTGCCTGGTGCACTTGGGGGGTCCTCCCTGCTCTGGGCCGCAGGCCGCACCGGCCTTAGAGTGAGGTGGGTGCCCTCGTGAGCTCGTGGCCCAAGCTGGCGTGTCTTCTACCCTGTTTCCCCGAAAATAAGACAGTGTCTTTTATTAATTTTTTTCTCCCAAAGTTGCGCTCGGTCTTATTTTCAGGGTATGTTTTATCTTTCCATGCGCTAGGTCTTATTTTCGGAGGATGTCTTATTTTCGGGGAAACACGGTAGGAGCCACACCGGTGTGTGAGAGGGAGCGAGGCCTGGACAGAGCATGGGCGCTGGCGGTGGCGGCCCAGTTCAGAGCGGCCGTGCGCCACACCCTTCACCTCATCGCTCCTCACAGCGGCCCTTGGGGGTGTCCTGCGATCGGCCTGTGTGAGAGGGGAAACTGAGGCTCCCAGAGGGGCCTCCCCGCCTGAGGTCTCCCAGCTGGAGTGGCAGGGCCAGGATTCACCCTGGCAGCTCGCCCCCGAACCTGCCTGCTTCGGGAGACTGCTCTCTCCGCCAGGCCTGACGGAGGGCCGTGTGGAGGCGAAAGGAGACCCTCGGAGTGTGAGCCCCGGGCTGGTCCCTGGCTGGTGCCGGGCAGTGTGAGCTGCCGCCCCTCTGACAGCCGGTGCCCGGTGCCCGGGGCCCTCCTGCCTGCAGGGCCTGGGCTAGTCCCCTGCTACAGGGATGGGGGCGCCTCCAGCCGCCTCCTCCTCACACCCTGCCCCCTCCCCTCAGGATGTTGCCACGATGCAGTTCTGCGCCAACAAGCTGGACAAGAAAGACTTCTTCGGGAAGTCCGACCCGTTCCTGGTGTTCTACAGGAGCAACGAGGACGGAACGTGAGTGCGGCCACAGGGCACCCCTTCCCGGGGGCGGGCGGCGGGCTCGGGTCCGCCTCCGCCCTGAGCGGCCGGCTCCTGCTCTGGGGAGGGTGGGGGTCCGGGCTCCAGGGCTCCTGGCCCGAGGATGGGCTGGGGGGCCGGGGGCAGCCGCCAAGCCAGCAGTGCCCTCCGGGGGCCTCAGCAGGGGCGGGTGGTGGGAGGTGGGGGAGTGGCAGACCCACTGCTCACCCTCAGCCGGCACATCCGGGCCCTCGACCCGCCCCGCCCCGCCCCCACCCCCCACCCCCCACCGTGGGCTTCATTCAGATCTCCACACGCCTTGGAAGCCACTTCCGCCTGCCCCTGACCTAGAAGCCACCACAATAGAGAGAAGCGCGCGCGCGCATGCACACACACACACACACACACACACACACTCACACACTCACACACTCCCTCTGGCAGATGTAGGTCAGCTCGCACACAGAGGAAGATTCTAGGTGGGCGCTCGGGGCCCAGGGCCTCCCCTCCCCCCCTGTGTAACTAACCCAGGCAGGCCAGGCCCCTCTGGGCCCGTTTCCTCGTCCGTGAAAGAAGCCGCTGGATCAGGGGTCCCCGCGGCCCTTTAAGCGGAGGGGCTGGGAGTGCGCCGCCCGGCGCATTCCGGAGCGGAGCGAGGGCCGGAGGTTAATTAGAAAAGCGCTGCCAGAGCGCCGGGAAGCGGGTTTGAGAAAAGGAGGAAAATGGGTCCGCGGGGAGGCACGGGCGGAGGAGGGGCGCCCAGAGCAAGTCCGGCGCGGAGGCAGAGGCCGCGCCAAGTTCTCCGAAATGTGCCCGCTTGTGCGTGCGTGTGCGTGTGTGTGTGCCCCCGTGTATGAGTGCCCGTGTGTGTATGTGTTCCCGAGTGTGTGTGTGTCCCCGTGTGTGTGTGTCCTTGTGTGTTCCCCCCGTGTGTGTGTGTGTCCTCATGTGTGTGTGCCCCCGTGTGTGTGTGTGTGTGTGTGTGCCCCAGTGTATGAGTGCCTGTGTGTGTGTATGTGTTCCCGAGTGTGTGTGTCCCCCCGTGTGTGTGTGTGTCCTCATGTGTGTGTGCCCCCGTGTGTGTGTGTCCCCATGTGTGTGTATCCCCGTGTATGTGCCCCCCCGTGTGTGTGAGAGAGCATGTGTGTGTACCTGTGTGTGCCCCACGTGTGTGAGAGCGTGTGTGCCCCGTGTGAGTGTGTGTGTACCCATGTGTATGCATGTGTGTGTACCCGCTTCTCTGCATGCGTGTATGCGTGTGTTGGGGGCAGGGAAGTGGCAGGGAGGAGGAGGTGTGTAGCAGTTCAAGAGAAAATGGATTTTTAAGTCTAAACGTACAAAACAAGGGAAATTAGATGTGTCATTTGCATGACAAAAGGACTCTTTGTTTCACCAGAGGACTCCCTCCCGGCAGAATTTCTTTAAATAATTCTGTTGACTGGCTTGACTTGAAGGAGGGAGGAAGGCTGTGTGGTGCTTTAGGGCCCAGCCCAGGCCCCCGCAGAGGGGCGAGGCCGCCCCGGCTGTCTCCTGTGTCCAGGCGGCTGCTGGCCCCGAGGGGGCGGGTTCGGGTTTGGGAGCAGGAAAGGGGTGCTGCAGTGTTTTCCAAAGCCGGTTCCAGCCGAGCAGATGTGTAGGATGGATGGGGAGGGCGGGGAAGAGGAAGGGACACATGACTGACACGGGAACAGGTGCTGAGCACCCGGTGCGCTGTGCTGGGGAGGTGCCGGGAGGCGGGCGGGAGGCCGGGGTGAAAGGGCAGCGCGGGCACCGGCAGCACACTGGGGGGCCCGGAGCCCCAGCCCCTCCCGGGCAGTGAGCTGGGGGGAGCAGGAGGGCCCAGGTGGCAGCTGGTCAGACGGGGCAGGCCAGGAGCTTCTTGGGGTGAGTTTCAGCTGACACAGGGCGGGATGTGTCCCCAGAGAAACCCACCCAGAGGCCCCGCGAGCTGGGCCAGCCTGCAGGCATCTGCGAAGATGCTGACCTGGTGAGAGCACGGTGGTTTCCCACCCCACCACACATTTGAGGAGGAGCCAGTGGAAGGCTCGGGAGACACCCCCCGTTAGGAGGATGGCGGAAGGTCAGTGAGGGGCCCAGGGTGTGAGATGTCACGCCTGCCCCCCCAGGAGGGACAGGGACGGAGGCATCCACCCAGCGCCTGTGCTCCTGGCCCTGTACCTGCCGTCTCACTCATCCCATCTCCGTCTGGGAGCCAGCATGTGGCCAGGAGCACGGCCTGGCGCTGCCTGTGGCCAGCTGTGTGACTGCAGCCAAGTCTCACCCGTGGGGCTTCCCGGGAGAAGGACTGGTGCTGCGTCCCGCTGTCCAGCAGGGCCGCCTTCGGGCCCGGGGAGCCGTCGAGCACTTGAAACGAGGCTACTGCGTTGGCGGAGCGGAGTTTCACGCTTCATTCCACCTCAGCGCTGTGAGGGGGAGTGGCCACACGTGCTGTGGCTGCGGGCCACTCGGTGTGTCCACGAGCGAATCCCAGCAGCACGCAGGGCTGCTGTGAGGATGGATGAGTTCACGTGTGGTTAACAGGGCCCGGCAGCTCCTGTGCTGTCCCCTGTTACAGTGAGGGGAGCTCAGAGGGGGAGTGTGGTCTGCCTGGGGCTGCACAGCCGGGGGTGGCGGCCCTGGGACTGTCTGCTCCGCTGGTTAGCGCTCTCCTGCGCCGCCCACTGAGCGTGTGTCAGGATGAACTGGGTGGTGACATGACTGCAGGGACCGCACCGCGGGGAGGCGAGGGGCCTGTGGGTTTGGCGGGGGCAGGGGATTCAGGCGAGAGTCTGAAGCAGACACCAGACTGCACAGGCTCCGGAAAAACAAGCCGGGAGGGAAGCAGGCTGGCAGCTCGGAGCCCGGCCTGGGAGTTTGGCTACGAGGGCGGCGACGGGGCGGAGGCTGGCGGGTCCACACGGGTTAGTGCAGCCAGGGCTTCTGCACAGCACACCTCCCTCCCTCCTGCCCCCCCCACCCCCAGCCTCCTCCCCCTGCTGCCCCAGCCGTGGCAGCTGTGCCCCTCCGCGCTCTGTGCCATTCCCGCCGTCAGTAGCAGCGCTGGGTGTGTGGGGAGGTCTCCCACGTGTATCTCTGCACTCCAGTGGGTGGGCGAGAGGAGCGGGGAAGAGAAACGCTGAGCCTTGGTGACAGAAATGACATTTTGACTTGAAAATTGCCAGAGAAGAAACGGCACAGGCTGTGTGGGCATGGGTGGGGCCAGGCACCTCCCTGAGATACCCCTCCAGCCGGGAGGTAGCTGGGACGGATGCTGGGAAGTCTGGGGGGCTGCCCTACGCCCAGCTCCACTGGCTCCTGGGTGCCCCCCACTCTCCCTCCACCCCCTGGCAGAGCAGGCTTCCAGAGGGGCCAGCAGGCGTGTGCGGGGAGTGGGCAGGGGCACGGCCTTGGGACCCAGATTGGATGAGCCAATCCTGCATTTCTGGTTTGCAAAGCGAGCTCACGGGTTCAGGGCTGAAGGGTTTTAGAGATCCTCTCAGCCAGGGCTTCCATCTGCTGGCTTGAGGGCCAGCCAAAGCGATGGAAACGCTCCTCCAGGAAGCACCTTCAGTCATTCATTCATTCCAGGTAACACTTGGTGAACACTCACCACGGCCAGGCAGTGTCTGCAGACACCAGAGCTGGGCCAGCGGTCAAAGAAGACAAAGCCCTTGCTCTTACCGAGCGTGCATTTTAGGGACAGGCCCTAGAGGGAATTAACGGACAGTTAGACGGTATCTAACGTCAGATGGTGACAGGTGGAATGGAAAGACAGCGTGGACGGGGCCTGGGGGTCAGAGTCAGGGGCCAGGGGCCGTGCATTTTAGATACGGCGCTCATGTCAAGGAGGTGACATGTGAGTAAAGACCGGAAGGAAGCGAGGAGGTGAGCCTTGAATGTGGAAATTGGGGCGGGGGTGGGAGGAGGGCAGAAAAACAGCAAACATCTGGATCCGGACTCCGGCTTCACTGACAGTTTCAGGGTTCACAGACCCCTAAAGGTGACCAGACGTCCAGCTTTTGGCGGGACAGTCCCGATTTGTAACAATGTGTCCCGCGTCCCTCGGCGTTTTAAAAAAGTCCCGATTAATCTTACCCTAAAGCCCAGCAGTTGAAGACTCCCTGGAAACAGGGGCCCAGAGAGGGAGGGCATGTCAGGGTCACACAGAGAGCAGGCCCGGAGCCGCATGCCCACAGGAGCCCTCTCTGCAGCGCCCCAGGACCGGCCGGCTGGCTTCCACCCGGATGCCGCTGCTGACGGTCAGCTCCTCCCTTCACAGAGCCGCGTTCCTCTCTGGCGGGCGACTGCAGAGCTCGGCCAGCTGGCCCCTCGGTGGACTGGAGTCGGCCTTCCTCGGGTTGGTTGGGGTCTGACCCCTTCCCTCTCTTCTTTGCCAGGTTCACCATCTGCCACAAGACCGAGGTCATGAAGAACACCCTAAACCCAGTGTGGCAAACGTTCTCCATCCCCGTGAGGGCCCTCTGCAACGGGGACTATGACCGGTGAGCTGGGAGACGCCCCTCCCCGCCCGGGTGTGGGAGGCCTGGCTCACGCCGATGCGGGTGGTCCCTCTATGTGGGCAGAGACCCCCGGAGATGGCCCTGTGCAGGGCGGGGCTCCTGAGCCTCACCACCTCCACCCCCCTCCTCACTGCCCTCCCTGCACCCTGAGCCTTTCCTCCTGTCAGGGGTCCCCACTGGTGGGAACTACCCAGGCTGGCGGGATGGGAGGTGCCTGGGATTCCAGGGGAGCCCAATGGGTATTGACCTGGAGCTCCCCTGTCTTTTCATTGTTCCCACTGGAGGGGCAGGTGGGGGCCAGACAGGGCTCTAGACATGCAGAGGAGGCCTGCCCCCCCGGCCCCAGCTCTTGCCAGGTGGATTCTGGGGAGTGAGGATCCCAAGAGACTCTCTGCCAGCCGAGTGGGGGGAAGGGACGGGACACGGAGCTCATGGAACTTTCTGATGTAACAGCCTACTGCTATCACATGTTAGCTGTCATTGTCGTCATCATCATCATCATATCATCATAGTCCCAGGTGTGCAGATTGCTGAGTGTGGATACACCTGGTTTCTAACTGGCTCAGTGGCTAAAATGGACTCAACCTGGGCAAACTTTGACCTTTCTTTTTGCTTCTTCTTTTTCCTTAAACTTTGACCTTTCTTTCTTTCTTTCTTTCTTTCTTTCTTTCTTTCTTTCTTTCTTCCTTTCTTTTTAATATATTTTATTGATTTTAAAAAAATATATATATATATTATTGATTTTAAAAATATATATATTTTATTGATTTTTTACAGAGAGGAAGGGAGAGTGATAGAGAGCTAGAAACATCGATGAGAGAGAAACATTGACCAGCTGCCTCCGCCCCCCCCCCCCCCCCCACCGGGGATGTGCCCGCAACCAATGTACATGCCCTTGACCGGAATCAAACCAAGTCCGCAGGCCGAAGCTCTATTCATTGAGCCAAACCAGTTTAGGCTAAACTTTGACTTTTCTGAGCCTCAGTTTCCTTATCTGTAAAATGGGTATTTAAACTTCTACTTACCTTATAGGGCTGCTTTGAGGCTCACGGGACACACCTACACAGAAAGGCTTTGGTGTGCGTCCAATACCAAATCCAGCGGTTAGTCCTCAAGTGTTTACTGACTCCCCATCAGGCGCCGGGCCCTGCACTGGAGGCTGGGCAGGCAGCAGGGAACAAGCACGATCTTCACCCTTCACCCAGGCTCGTGGAGTTTACATCGCGTGGGGGAGGCAGACATTATCCACTAATCGCGCAGAGTAATTACAAACTGTGCTAAGTGCCGGGGACCGAAAGGTGGTGCTGGTGTGTGTGAAGGTCCTGAGAACCAGCTTGGTTTCCTGGTGATTGCTGAAGCTGGCGGCGAGCTGGCAGGGGTTAGGGCCTGGGCCTCTGCTGGCCACTCGGACAGGAACACGGGGGTCCTGGCTGGTGGCATTGGCAGGGGCTCGCTGTGCCCCTGCTCACGGTGGCCACACTGACTGGCTGTGTGTGGGAGTGGCACCTCTTCCTGCTTCTTGGTTGGGACAGAAAAGCCATCTATTCCAGTAGGTGGTCAGGAGCACCTACTATGTGCTCATCTGCCTCCCGCTGTGCAGCATTCAAGGGGATGTGGCCTCAGCTCCATCTTCAGGGAGCTTATAGTCTGACCACAGGGAGCTCAGATGTGCACTGAGTATATCAGTCAATGAAGTAATTATGCAAAACGAGATCGGAGACAAAGTAGGCCTTCGAGCCACACAAACCCATTAGGTGTCTGGCAGGTCCTGGGCTCCTGGAATGGGGGATGGGAGGACAGTGGTGGGAGCATGGGGTCTACAGGAGGCTCAGAGAAGGTGCAAGGTCGTGTGGGAGGTGGGCAGGAGAAGAGTGGGTGGGATGGGGAGAGATGGGGGGAAGCGAAGGGAAGTTCCAGGTTGGAGAGTGGGAGAGCATGCGATTCAAGTCTCATTCAAGGAATTAGGGTCCTAGCCCACTGCCCAGAGGTTTTGGGGATCCAGTTGATACCCCACAACTTTTGCATCCCTATGAAGGGACTCCCAGGGCCTCAGAATCCAGCTTGTCAGGATGGTGAGGAGACTCAGCGGCCTGGGCTCTCCATCCAGCCGTCGGAGGAGGTGAGGGTGCAGGGGGGTGGGGGGAAGAGGTGCTGGTCATGGGGAAATGCAGGCAGGCTCCCATCTCCCTCCCAGTTAAGCCCCAAACTCTGCCCCCAGGTGGCGGGCTGCCAGGGCCCTGCCCCACAGGGAATAGATTTGCGGAGACATGATTGACAGCCATATTAACGGAGGGGCCAGGCATGTCACTGGGCGAAAGTGTCAAGCTGCTGGGCCGAGCCCGAGGTGACCCGTGTACCCAACAGCCACCGGGACACGCAGGCGACTGGGAGGCCCTCCGGGGCGGGGGAACCTCTGTAAAGCCTCGCAGATGCATTCGGGCGAATCCAGCAGCTGCGTCTTCCATGCCAGCCAGGCCCAGAGCGCTGTGCTGGGGGCCGAGGAGCCGAGCGGCCAGCCCTCCCCTCCCTCTGAGGTTGCTCCCGGCCAGGGCAGGAGACAGACGGGTGATAATAACAGCAAAGTCCCTGGAGCTCTTACATGGTAATTTGTGTATGTGAGTCCATGTAATCCTCTGCAAAAGGGATTAACACCATCCCCACTTCACAGGTAGGGAAACTGAGGCTGGTGCTCGGCCTGTGTTCTTTCTTAACCACAGCACTGTGTAGCCAAGCGGGCGTGAGGGAGAGCTTGGAGGGCTCTGTGGGCACCGTGCTCAGGGCGCGGGGCAGTCTGCCTGGGCCTGGAGGTGGAGGAAGACGCCCGCCTGGGGTGGGACCGAAGAGGGTTTGAGCTTGGGGGAGAGACGCCGGCATCACGGACAGATGGGAAGCGGCAGGGAGCAGAGTCGGACCAAGGTCTGGGAGTTCCCAGAGGGGCTGCCTGGCTCAGTGCCCAAGGCCCTGGGGGTCAGGAGCAGGAGAAAGAGGAGGACGTGGTCAGAGGCACAGGAGGGACCAGGCGGAGGGCGGCTGTGGCCAGGGAGCCGAGAGGGGGGTTCAGACTTTGGTGAGAAGAGGACCCAGAGGGTAAGGACCAAGAATCCCGGAGAAGAGGCCGTTTCCCTGGAGTGATGGGGGGCGGGAGACAGTTAATACTGTTATGGGGTCTTTAGGATATGGACCAGATTGTGTCCTCATTGACTGCAATACATCATCTTATCTGTGAGTTAAATTTCACAGTAACCCTGGAAGGTGGGTGCCAGTGACCCCATTTCACAGACGGGCAAGGGGAGGACGGAGATTATGGAACCTGGCAGGGCAAGGAGAAGGGACATGTCTCCTTTGCAGAGTTACCTCCAGCTGGCCCTGGGGTCTGGGGCCCCTCTGCTGTCTCCAGTCCACACGAGGCCACACGCAGGTGCCCCGGCTGGGCAGGGCTGAGGGTCAGGGCCGGGCCGGCCTGCAGTGGGTGAAGTGGGTGATGACAGGAGGCAATTCCCTGCCTTCCCGGAGTCCCTCCTCCCTCCTAGAACATTCTGTGACTTGGTCCTTGTTAAACCAGCCTGCCTGGCTGGCTGCTGTCATTCACTCACACCTTGATCGGAGTGAGTGCATTTTAAGAGGGTGTCAGGGTGCTGGGTCCTCACCTGGAGAGGGCAGAGGTAAGGCGCTCACATCTGGGAAGCCTCACACTTCCGTCTGCCCCTGAAGAGCCGGCTGCTTCTCCTTTGAACCCACCGCCCGCTGAGCACTGGGAGGGCCAGGCCGGCAGGGTGACTCCCTTAGGAGTGTGTCACCAGCCCGCTCACCTGCAGAGGCTGACCTCGGACAGGCGGGAAGGCTCTGCCTGCAGCCTGGGCTGCACCCTGCCATCCCTCCCCTCCGGTCTAGCTGTCTGCCCCGTGGGCGCCCCTATCCTCCCCCCCACCCCACCGTCTGCCCCGAAGCCTCTCTAAGTGTCGGCCTGATTGTCAGTTTAGGGCAAAGCCCTCGGGGCCTGTCAGCCCAGGGCCTTGTGGCAGCAGCAGGATGTACATCCCGGAGCCGGAGAGGCTCATTAGGAGGCAGGTCTGTGCGGCTCCTGGGAGCCGGTAGCTAGAGCTGCTGGGCGAGCTGGGTGAGCTGGGCGTCTCTGCGTGCCCCTCACCCCATCCTGCCGAGGCTCACATGTGCCCAGCCCTGGCACCCCGGCCCCAGGCATCCGGGCCCACAGGACACTGGCTCCCGCCCGGGCCTGGCGCTGCTGCTTGCCGTGGGGGAAGCCACACACTCAGACTCCCCTGTGGTTCTGAGGAAGGAGGGCCGCCTCGCCAGGTGATAGAGTTCTCAGACGGCGGGTATGGGTGCAGTCAGACCACTTTCATCACCTCGATGTGCGAGGCGCGGGACCCGAGGCTGAGGTGCAGCCGCCGACCCGGCCAGTGTGAGTGGGACTGTTTGGGAGGCAGGGGCCTGGGGAAAGGCTGGGGGTGCAGACAGAACAGAACCGCAGGGTCCGATGCTGCCGCGAGGAGGACGTAGCTGACTTCTCCCGGCAGCTGCCAGTGGCTGCGATGATTCCCTTTCACAGAGGCGAGAACAGAGTCTCCGAGGCTAAGCCGTGCACAGGGCCACCCGCTCTTAGCTGCAGAGCTGGGGCTGCCACCTGAGCTGCCGTCCTCCCTGTGACCCGCTCCGTCTCTCAGACCAGCGCTGTGTCCGGAGCCTTTTGCTAAGTCAGATGTTCAAGTGCGGGCAGCAGAGGCCCATCTCCTTGTCCCACACCCGGGCCCCTTCTCTTGGGGGCTGTCCCCAGAGGTCCACGAGCCTCTGTGGACCTGAGCTGAGGGGTTGGGAGCCACGCTGAGGCCCTCAGGGGGCATGTGAGGTGACCTGGGCGCCCAGCTGTAGCAGAGCAGTCACAGCTGCGCCCGGCGTGTGCCCGCCCCCCTGTCCCTGGGCAGCGTCCCTCTCACCTCCTCCTCCCCCACGCCACGCCTGGAGTTTGCAGCCTCCCAGATAATCGGACCCTGGGCTGCCTGCACCGTCCCTGGAGCCTCGATTGCGCAGGAATCTCACACTCAGTGTCTCCACCTCAACTGCAAGTTCAAATCCCCAGAGGAGCTTTAAGCAAGCCCCCTGCCAGGTGCACCCAGACCCTTTAATTCTGGGTCTCTGGCAGGAGGCATGGGCACCTGAGGCTTCCGCATGGAGCTGCTAAAGCTCTCTCTCGGGCACCCACTGTGCAATCCAGGCAGAAGCCGGGGAGGTCAGAGGCTCTGGCTAAACATTAGCATCAGCCAGGGGAACTGTTTGGGAATTCGTCCAACTTCTCCAGCTACCGGTGCCCGAGTCCAATCCAGACTGATTAGGTCAGGCCCGCTGGCCCTGCGATTATTAAAAAATCTCCCCAGTGATGTGTGGGTGTCCAAGCTGTGGCCGTGACTGGGGTCCTACAGCCTCTGAGCACGTGGCGGTCGCTGATCCTGCCCCTGAGAGGCTGGTGGCAGCGGACTGAGGAGAGGCACTCTTTCCTGGGGTCCCTGAGCTCCCCCGCCCCCCGAAGAGCTGGAGGGCTCCGGGGGGGACCAGGAAACTGTGGGCAGGGTCCTGGCTCAGACCCTCTCGGCGCCCTGCCCGGAGCTGCTGAGACCGAGGGTCTGTGTGTCTGAAAGGCTCCTGGTGATGTATCAGGCGGGCAGGCATGGGGGCCACAAGGTCCCTTCCAGCCTTGTCACCCCAGGAACCAGAAGGGGCGGGTCAGGTACCCCGGGTGGGTGTCCCTGATCTAAGTGAATTTCTCGCGTGTGGCCGGAGGCTCCAGTGGAGAGAAGGGGCGTTTTTATGGAGCCCACAGCGTGCCAGGCGGGTTTTCCGTAAGTGACAGCCCGGCCCCCAGCCAGCAGCCTCCACCCACGCCCACACCCCAGCTCTTCCCACTCTTCCCTGCTCAGGGCCCCCCGCCCCCTCAGGGGCTTTTTGGTTTGTTTGCTTTTTTTCTTTTCACCATAATTCACCTCAGAGAGACATTGCTTTTTGCTTCTCACAAGAATCAGCAGGGTTCCTTTAGGTGGGCTTCTGCGCCCCCTGCCCTCATTTTGCATCTCAGTAACAGAATCCCAATTGCTGCACAACCTGCCGGCCTGCTTTCATTCCCGCGCAGTTTCTGGCGGAGCAGGGAATCCGCAGCCTGCACGGCACACCCTCAGAAGCGCATCCGAAGGCAGACAGCGCCCCCTTGTGGGCTTCGGGAGCCCCGAGGCCGAGTCCTCAGAGACCCGAGGAGACGAGACGGGCCGCAGCCGCGGGTGGGGAGATGGTGAGATGCTAATGGAAAGCAGGCAGGCAGCCGCCTCTGCGTGCCCCACTTAGAGCTGAAGGCTGAGACCTCCCCGGACCCTGACGCTGCGGCGGGACCCGGCAGCTCCCCCGTCCCTGGGCATCCCTGGAGGACCCCTGGCACCAAGGGTTAACCTGCAGCCTTCCACCTCCCTCCTCTGCCTCTGGTCCGCTAACCTGTTGCCATGGAAACAGGCTAAAAATAAAATGGGCTCCCAGAGCCCAGCCCCATGCACAGAAGTCAAAACAAACTAATTAAAGCAGCCGGGTGGGAATGTGACGATAATTACACCCTCACTCAGGAGCCCAGCAGGCCATCCCGAGCGGGCCCTGGGCCCATCCCTGGCACGCACACCACTCGGCCCCCACGGAGCCCCGCTGTCTCTGTCCCTCCCAGGAGAGCTCACCGGCTGAGGCCTGGGATCGGGGAGCAGCGCCCCCACTATGGTGGCCCCACCCCTCGTAAATCCATCGTGGGTTTCATGCTGGGACTTGTGCCCCATCTGGGGTGGGCAAGCAGAAGGCAGGGCGAGCTGAGGCTGCTTTCCATATCATCCCTGAAATCCCGGGAAGCTCCTGCACAGCTCTAGGCTGCGTCTGTCCCCACGACTCTTCTAAAAGGCCTCGAGGGAGCTTCTTTGTGTCTCGGGCTGCTGCCTCTCACTGAGGGCCCGGGTGTGAGGAGATTCCTGTCTCCTGGTGGATGTCCCAGCATCCTCTCTGGCCCGGGTGTGAGGAGGTCCCTGCCTTCTGGTGGATGTCCCAGCATCCTCTCTGGCCCGGGTGTGAGGAGGTCCCTGTCTCCTGGTGGATGTCCCAGCATCCTCTCTGGCCCGGGTGTGAGGAGGTCCCTGTCTCCTGGTGGATGTCCCAGCATCCTCTCTGGCCCGGGTGTGGGAAGGGCCCTGTCTCCTGGTGGATGTCCCAGCATCCTCTCTGGCCCGGGTGAGAGGAGGTCCCTGTCTCCTGGTGGATGTCCCAGCATCCTCTCTGGCCCGGTGTGAGGAGATTCCTGTCTTCTGGTGGATGTCCCAGCATCCTCTCTGGCCCGGGTGAGAGGAGGTCCCTGTCTTCTGGTGATGTCCCAGCATCCTCTCTGGCCCGGGTGTGAGGAGGTCCCTGTCTCCTGGTGGATGTCCCAGCATCCTCTCTGGCCCGGGTGTGAGGAGGTCCCTGTCTCCTGGTGGATGTCCCAGCATCCTCTCTGGCCCGGGTGTGGGAAGGGCCCATCCTCAGGTGACATGGATGTTGGGTCAAGCCCATCCCAGCACGGACCCTTTGTCCCACAGGACCATCAAGGTGGAGGTGTACGACTGGGACCGTGACGGCAGGTAAGCAGCAGAAGGGCACAGGGACAAGGGTGGGGCAGCCCTGGGGAGGGTGGCTCCCCTCAAATGGGACTGAGGGGCCTGGGCTCTCCTGTGGGCCACCCACTGCCCGTGACGGCCCTGCCCGGCTCTACAGGCACCAGAGGACCTCGGGCCCGCGGGGCACGGCGCAAAGGCAAGGAGAGGCCTCTCTTCCTCAGACAGCTGCCGAGCGGCCATGCCCAACCCTCCCCACGGTGGAGGACCGGGGTTTTCTGAAACGTGCCCGTTGTGAGGTGTAGAGAGTGGTGATGCCCGAGCACTTAGATCACCCTCTGTGAGCTCAGCCTTGGGGGGACCGAGGCGTGGAAGGGGAGCTGGGGCAATGGGAAGGGAAGTTGTCCACACAGGGAGGGAGGTCGTGCCTGCGTAGGGCCGAGCTGGCCAGTGGGCAGGCGGTCGCCTCCCCTTCTAACTGTCCCCAAGGAGCAGCGTCGCTGGGAATTCATAGACAGGACAGGAAGGCTCCCGTCCAGAACTCGCCCCGGCTCCTACTTGTCTGTTGAGCCAAACCCAGGGAGCCCCTCCTGACCTTTGAGGCCCCTCCATTCTCGGACAGGGGCAGGGGCAGAGAGGGCTTCACACCCCGTAGCTCCGCTGTCCTCGAGGCTGTGGTGTGGACAGGGACATGGCTCAGGCTGTGCAAACGCAGCTCTGAGTTAGGCCCAAGCCCTTCCCAGGAGCTTAGCTTCCCCAGACCTTCCTGTAGAGCCGGCAGTGCCTACTGCCCGGGAGCTCCCGTGGCCCCATGCCCGTCCTCTAACCACATCACAGGCCGGTCAGCTTCCTGTTTGCACCCGTGATGGAGCTCCTCTTACCCCGGAGTCCTCCCTCCTTCTCTTTTACTGAGAAAGCGGGGGACAGCCACCAGATGCAACTGGTTCCCGCCAGCAAGGAGCTCACAGTCTGCATGGGGAGAGCTGCACATCTGTAGTAAAGACACGGTGTGGGCTCAGGGCGGGCAGGGCACTGCCCGGCGTCACTCCAGCAGGCACCCCGGGCCAAAGGCAGCCAGCCCCAGAGGAGGTGGCAGTTCTGCGTTGTACAAGGCTTTGCTGCGCTTCATGTAAACGCACACACAGGTCCCCGAAGTGCAGACACTGCTGAGAACACCGCCAGGGCCTCCATGGACACTGGGCTGAATGTCATTCCAGCAAGTGTCACTGGAGAAATGGCAAACCTATAGAAAACTAGAGGAGAGCTTACTGAACGCTTTAAGCCTATCACCCGAATCTAACAAGCGTTACACGTTGCCGTATTTGCTATATTTGTGTTTTGTTGATGTAGCTTAAATTATAGACATGGTGGCATTTTTATCTCTAACTGTCTCATTGGGAACGTCTGGAAAGGGAGGGCATTTCCTACATAACTGCGGATGCCATGGTCACACCTGACACTGGGAACGATAGTCTTGAACACCTTCTAATATTCACTTCGTATTCCAATTTCCCTGGTTGTCACCCAAACACCCTTTGCTGCTGGTTCGTTCTCGCAGGAATCCAAGCAGAAAAGGGTCCCGTTCTCTGGGGCCCGCCCTTTGCCCCTTGGCCTTTGGGGGTTTGCTCCACCGGTGACACGTGGCCCCAGGGACCCAGCCTCCCAGCCGGCGTGCTCCCGGAGGAGCGGCCTGGGCAGGACTGGGAGTCCGGGGGCGTGGAGAGGCGGGTGGGCACGGGTCTCAGCAGAGCCTTCCTTTGCAGCCATGACTTCATCGGGGAGTTCACCACCAGCTACCGGGAGCTGGCCCGCGGGCAGAGCCAGTTCAACATCTACGAGGTGAGGCAGACACCCAGGGTCTGGGGTGCTCCATGCTACAGAGCTCCCAGCCATCGAGGCCACAGGGAGCGTGTGCAGGGCGGGCTTTTGCGGGTTCTCCTGTGGGGTGGGTGTTACTGTCTCATCCCACAGCTAAGGAGACCGAGTCTCAGCAGAGTTAGGGGACTTGCCCCAAGACACATTTCAGTAAATGGCGGATCAAGGGGCAACAGCCTAGGCCAGTGGTCGGCAAAGTCATCAGTCCACAGAGCCAAATACCAACAGGACAACGATGAAAATGTCTTTTGAGAGCCAAATTTTTAAACTTAAACTTTTTCTAATGCCACTTCTTCAAAATAGACTCGCCCAGGCCGTGGTATTTTGTGGAAGAGCCACACTCAAGGGGCCAAAGAGCCACATGTGGCTCTCAAGCCGCAGTTTGCCGATCACGTGATTAGGCTGATCTGACTTCAAATCACTGAGCGAGAGTGCCCCCCAAAACGAGTACTTCCAACAAGGTGGGGGAGAGAAGAGGGGGTGAGGCAGAAGCTGGGGGACAGTGTGAGGAGGTTCCAGGCCTGAGACCCGAGGTCCGGAGGTCAGATGGCCCGCTGCCTTCGGTGAGGGCAGCCCAGGCCTTTTCTGGAGGGAGAGACTCGGAGGAGCAGGAGTCAGGAGGCCCCTGTCAGCGAGGCCCCCATCTCTCTGGAGAAAATCGCCTTTGCCCTCACAGGGCAGTGTCTGTGCTGAGCCTGTGCTGTGTGCCCTCCCTCTGGGTGCCTTCCCGCCATCTATGTGTGTTGTGTGTGCCCTCCCTCTGGGTGCCCTCCCGCCGTCCGGTCTAGCTCAGCTCCTGCTCCGGTGCTGGCTTCCCGTCCGCGAGGCTGCCTGAGCTCAGAGCCTGCCCGCCTCGCACTGGCCCTGTGAGCTCGGCCACGCTCCTGACACGCTCTGCAAGGCCACGGAGAGTTAAATAAGCTGCCAGGACAAGGCCTGGCCGGAGGGGGCGTGACGTCAGCGCTGGCTCCCAGCATCCTGTGTGCCAGGAGAGAGACAGCTCACAGCCATCCCACGGGCGGGCTCTCGCCTCACGTTAGCAGCACCCGGCCGGTGAGGCTGACGAGCTGGCGTTGGCTCCCGTCACTGAATCTGCGCCCTCCACCCTCCCTCTCACCCCGCATCTCCGTTCTGAGTGGGCAGGTCTTGCGTTCCAACTACACCGAAGCCCCCCAAGGGCAGCCGAGAACCCTCTTGGCTGCTCTCTCCCCGGTCCTCTGGCCACTGCTGGGCACACAGTAGGTGCTTCTTAGACATCCACACCCTGACCTCAGTAGGACAGGCCATTGGAAAGATGGAGCGTGGGGGGATGTCTGTGAATTCTTCCCAGTGAAAGCTTTGCTTCCTGCATGGACAAAGGGAAGGGCTGTCTTTGCCCATCTCCCTCCCAGGCAGAGAAGCAGGCTCCGTCTTTCTCTGGCTTCCTCGAAGGAGGTTTTTAGGGAAGGGAAGGGAAGGGAAGGGAAGGGAAGGGAAGGGAAGGGAAGGGAAGGGAAGGGAAGGGAAGGGAAGGGAAGGGAAGGGGACAGATGGATTGGAGTCTGACTTCTAAGGGAGCTTGACAGACCGGAAGAGGCGCCGTCTCCCACTTAGCAGGAAGGCTGGAGGACTTTCTTGGTGCGGACCCCTGCTCCCTTGTCATTGCCCAGAGCAGTGTCAGCAATGAGCCACATGCAGCTCTTTGGCCCCTTGAGTGTGGCTCTTCCACAAAATACCACGTGCGGGTGCGCACGTACAGTGCGATTGAAACTTCCTGGCCCATGCACAGAAGTCAGTTTTCGGCTCTCAAAAAGAAATTTCAGTCGTTGTGCTGTTGATATTTGGCTCTGCTGACTAATGAGTTTGCCGACCACTGGCCCAGAGGAACTGTCTTCACGGTGAAATGCCTCCAGGCAGACAGGATGCACTAGGGCGGCCGTGGAGGGTCCTTGCACCACGGGGTCCCTGGGGGGCCTCGCTCAGTCCAGAGACACACAGGCTTCTTCAGGAGGGACTGTCGCCTGGGGCCCCAGTGTGACCCGGTCCGACTTGTGCGTCCAGCTGTCTGCGGGCCCCTCCACAGACCCGGCCTTCCCAAACCGAATACATCCGGCCACAGGTCCCCCTCAGCCCCCTCCCCCCTCCCCCTCCGGCCAGCCTGCGCCGCCACCATGGGGCCACGGCCCCTGGGAGCCACCTTGACAACCGTGGCCCCTCGCCATCCATGGCTGCCCCCTGCTCCTAACCAACGGGATATCCTGGCGTTAGTTCCCGTCGTCCCCCCGTCCATCCTACTGGCATCTCACCTGAGCAGGTTTTGCAACAGCCCCCTGACGGCCCTCCCACCTCCTTCGTCCGCTCAGTAACCTGAGTGCTCCTCAGCACGGCCACCTGACCACATGGCTGCCCACTTCACACGTGGCTGTGAGCCCACCCACCACCCAGCCCGGTTCACTGGGAGGAGGTTCGGAAAGACGCCCACCCCAGCCGAGATGCTACAGGGCCGGCCTATGGGGCGAAGTCCGAGCTCCCCACAGTGCCTGCCCCCGCAGCGACTTGCAGACTGTGCACCGGGGGCCTGTGTCAGTGGGCGCACATGTCACCCCCACAAGGCCCCTACGGTCTGGCCCCAGGCCTTCCCTCTGCCCAGCGCTTCGAGCCCAGTCATTGCCAGCGGAGGCTCTCTGACCCTGCCTGAGGGCTCAGCCTTGCGGCTTCATTCACGCAGGTGCTGCCTCTGGGTCCGGGCGGTGTCTCACTGTTGTATCCCCAGAGCCAGAGCAGCCCCTGGCTCCTCAGAGCCACTCCCCGACCCCTGGTACAGGAGGGCAGACCCCAAATGGGCGCTGGAGGCCCTAGAGACTCGGGTGTGAAGAGAGGGAGAGGAATGGGCAAGCTTAGAACTCCAGCTCAGGGGTGGGGAGGTTCCTGGCCTGGCCCCTAGGGGGCGCTGGTCCCCCTCCCGGAACCTGAGGGCAGGCTAGGCTGGTATTATACATGGGTGGGGTGTGCTGGGGAGTGCACCAAACCTCAGGATAAACAGGGCGTCTCGTCAGTGCCATTTCGCATGAAGATCTGAGCACAAAACATTGCTTTAATATTAAAACAGCTATAATTAGAGAGTGGAAATGCGGAATAGTGGCTAATTTAAAGACAACACAGAAGACTTCAAAGAAATGTGCTTGTGGACTGATCTTGGGGTGACGCCCAGATCCCCAGGAGTCCACGTCTGCTCTTCAGCTGGGAGGGTGGGGCGGTTACTTTGGAGTAGAAGTTTGAGATGTACTTAGTTCTAAAAGTGCCACACCCTCCTGGGACAGATTGGGAAACTGAGGCCCGTGCAGCAGTGGAGCTGTGACTGTGCCCTCATCTCAACACCGAGGCTGGCTCCCAAGACTGAGCACTGTGCCTCTGCCCGGCTTTCCTGCCTGGGGAGGGTTCCAGGCTGTTCTGGGCTTCTCTCCCTGGCTCGCACGTGCCCCCTGCACAGCCTGTGGGCCCTCCCACCTGGACGTCCCTCCTGCGCCCCAAACCCAGCTCCTCCTTCCTTCTGTGTCTTCCTGGGGGCCCTGACCCCGCCCTCTCTCCTTCCCCCACCGCCGTGCCCAGGCCCAGGTCTGTGGTCACTTCTTGACGGTGCTGTTTTGCCAGAGCTCATTACCTGCACCCACAAGCTCTCACTCAGTCACCCGGATGCTGGTGGTGGTCGTAAGCAGAAGTAAGGAAACTTAACAGCAGCCTACACGTCCACACCAGACCCTGTCCTTGTATTGACCCACGTAACCCCTCCATCTTCCCATGAGGTAGGTGCCTTTCACCCCCATTTTACGGATGAGGAAACGTCTGCAGACACCCCCCTGCTGTCCTTCCTCCTCCCCTCGTACTCACCTCCACCCTGTCTGGCATCCCAGAGCCTGCCGGGACCTAGTCCCCCGTCAGCTGAGGGGCCATCAGAGTCCCTGCTCGCCACTGGGTGGTGTCCCGCCATTTCAGTCCTCTTCCAGCCAGCCCAGTGTGCCCTCTGCAGCTCAGCGGGACCCCAGTCCTGTGCTCCTTCCCCCCGACATCTCCTGGCCGGGACGCCTCCCTCCACCTCCTCGCGCCCAGCTCCGTCCCGTCCCTCCGGGTCCGCGGGCAGTGCCTCCCGTGCTCCCGCCGCGTGGTCCCTCCTTCGGACGAGGCCTGCAGGTCCTGACTGCCCCGGCGCGGCGGCCCCATCTCCTCCCAGGGAGTCAAGATCCTAGAGGAGAGGAGCGGGCACCCCACCCCGCCCGCTGGCAGACAGCTGTGAAGGACCGAGCTGGCCTGAGGCAGGAACCGGTTCCTAACTCTGTCCCTAACCCGACCCGCTCCGTGCCCTTGGGCGAAGCCCTCGGTCTCTGGGCCTCGGTGTCCTTGTCTCCGAGCTCACCGGGAAGGACAGTTAAGGCGGTTCTGAGTGGCTGTCAGCATCCTGCAGGCAGAAGAGACCTCCCGAAGGACGGACAGGAGCTGGGGAGAGGGAAGGACCGCGGGCGGGGAGACGGCCTTGCTTTGTTCAGGAGGAGGATAGGGGAGGGCTGGGCCTGACGCCCACATAAAAGAACAAAGAGCCGAGAAGCTCCGGTCAGTACCAGGGGTGCGTGTGAGGCCGGAGGGCTCCCGGGCCGCGGCAGCAGCCAGGGTCTCCGCCTCGCACTGTGGCTTCTCACTCAGTGTCTTTGCCGAGGGAGCCGTCCCTCGGGGGTGGGGTGTTTGGCAGCGTCCTTCGTCTCGACCTGCCCCCCTCGTTGTGACAAACACAAACATTTCCAGCCGCTGCCAGATCTCTCCAGGGGAGGGATGCGCCCCCAGTGCAGACCTTCGCTAACCCACCAGGAAGTGTTTGTTTGGCACCTACCCTAACTAGGGCTGAGCTATCCTCCCTGATGACAGGCTGGGTTTGGAATGAAAGCTTACACTGCAGAACGGTGAAGGAGCTCCAAATGCAGTGTGAGGGCGGGCAGGCAGGGTCTGGGGGAGACTCACAGGCCCCCCGGAGCCCCCAGGCTGGATCTCCAAGGAGCAGCAGGGAGGGCCGTGGGGGGCGGGTTCCGCTGAGGCTCAGGGCAGGCACGGACAGGGCCCCTTTGCCACATCAGCCTCTGGCTGCGAGGGCGGAGGTGTGCTGGGGAAGCGCTGGGAAAGGAGGTTAAGTAAATATTATTCTTGGTGTGTTTGCTTGTGGGACACTGTGTCTAATGGGGAGCCCAGTTGCGTAAGTCTGGATGCCAGCTCTCTCAATCAAATGCCTGAGGCCTCCGTGGCTGGTTTTCTCAGCCTGCTCGGCTTCTGGGGTCTGGGCCGCACCCGGCCCCCCACCCCCCACCCCGTGGGAGCCCCGGGGGCCCAGCCTGCCAGTTCGGAAGCCTCTTTCTTATCTAGTAACTTTTTCCTGCAGGTGGTAAACCCAAAAAAGAAAATGAAGAAAAAGAAATACGTGAATTCTGGCACGGTGGGTAGCCAGCCCTCCCTCTGTGCGGCTGAGCAGACGCTGAGCACGGAGCGGGGCTGGTGTGGGGAGTCTGGGTGTTGGTGTGCCCTGCGGGGTGGGAACTAGACCTGGAGAGTGGGGGTGCAGAGGGCTGGGGCCCCTGGAGCCACCGCCCAGGGAGGACGGAGGGAGTCGTGTTTAAGGTTGTAGCAGGCGGGGCCCTGTGATTCAGACTGAGAAATCCCAGCGGGAAACGCCCCGGGACTTCCTGCCGCAGGAAGAGGAAAGGAGCAGCCGTGCTTGCACCCTCACTCCGGGAAATTCCCAATTTAGGTGCCTTTCTCGGGGTGTTTCCTCGGGAGGCCGTTGTATCACCCCCTCGTCATGACAGAGGAAAGCAAGGCTGCAGGCGGGGGAGTGACTCAGCCGAGGTCACCGGGCTGGAGAGAGGTAGGGGTGGCGGCCGTCAGCACCGCGGCTAAATCCGGAGCCTGCGGCTGCCATGGGCCGAGGCTGCTTGCCGGTCACCACGCCGGGGTCACGCCGGCCCAGAGGCTTCTGAGGGCTGACCTTCACGCGTTTACCAACAAATGGAAGTCCTTGCCCTGATGCATCCACATTCCAGCGGGAGGAAACAGAACACAAGTAACTATACCTGCGTGCCTGTGCCTGTGCGTGCCAGGTGGTTAGTGCTGTGGACAAAAGCAACGTAAAGGGATAGGAAATGCCAGCGACCAAACTGCTGTTTAATATAAAGCGGCCAAGGAAAGCTCCTCTCGGCTGACACTCGAGCTGAGATTCGAAGAAGGGAGGAAGCGAGTATTGAGGATTTTGGGGAAAGAGAATACTAGTGGGAATCAGCATGTGCCAAGGCCCTGGGGCAGAGCCCACGATACATTTATAGGATAAACCAATATCTTTGCCGGGCAAACATCCCCAAGTTCTACCCTCATGTCCCTCCCCGAGGTCCGTACATCTGAGAATGCAGGGAAATGTAGACATTTGAGTCAGGCAGACCGCAACTCTAAACCCGGGAGAGGCCCCAGGCAGGGGTTCGGGGGGGCCTCTGAGGCCCCTCATTTTCTCGTCTGTACATGGGGCTGACACGCCATTGCTGCTGCTCTGCCTATTGCATGGCGTGTCAATGGCAGACACATGGGGGGCGCAGGCCTATAAACTCACACACCGGGGACAGCCCCCCGTTTCTCTGTAACCTTCACAGATAGGCGTGGAGTAATACAGGGCGGGGCAAAAGTAGGTTTACAGCTGTTCCTATGGGAAGCAATACGATAAGTAATAAATAACGGTACAAGAATAAACCGTGTCACATGCTCTCAACCTGCTCCTGCCCCACCCTGAACTTCATTGTCCAGAGCCGCAGGGTTCCTCCGTGGGCCACTGCTGGTGTTTTGGGCGGGACCACTCTTCGTCTCACAGGACTTCCCCGCATGGTGAGGTGTACCCCCGGCCTCAGCTCAACTGCAATGGAGCCCCAGTCACTGTGAGCACCCAGAATCCTCCCACCCCTTCCCAGGCGCCTCCAGGGGAGGCCCGGAGAAGGAGTGGATGTACAGTTTTAAAAAGGTTTGAAGACCACCGGCCTCGCCCAGCTTTCCTGCTTTAGAGACAAAGAAGCTGAGGCCCAGAGGGCGCGTGCTTGGTCTGAGGTCACACAGGAGTGAGGGCAGTGCAGGGCTGGGCCCGGTCTCCTGACTTCCCTTTGCTGCAGCATTTCCCAGGCTTCCTCTTTAAAAGAATCACCCAGGCCGAAACGGGTTTGGCTCAGTGGATAGAGTGTCGGCCTGCAGACTGAGAGGTCCCGGGTTCGATTCCAGTCAAGGGCATGTGCCTTGGTTGCAGGCACGTCCCCAGTGGGGGGTGTGCAGGGGGCGGCTGATCAATGATTTTCTCTCATCGATGTTTCTGGCACTCTATCCCTCTCTCTTCCTCTCTGTGAAAAATCAATAAAATATATTAAAAAAATAAAAAATAAAAGAATCACCCAGTCTGCTTACCAAAATGCAGATGCCCAGGCAACTTTCCCGGATTCCAGGCTGGGGCCCAGCTTAGTGCTTTTCTGACCTTACCATGAGAAGAATCTCCTGGGCTCTTGTTAAAATGCCAAGAAGCTGCATTTCTGATATATATATAATATATATATGTAAATAATTGATTTCAGAGAGGAAGAGAGAGTGAGAGATAGAAACAGCAATGATGAGAGAGAATCATGGATCAGCTGCCTCCTGCACGTCCCCTAGTGGGGGTCAAGCCTGTAACCCAGGCATGTGTGCCCTTGACCGGAATTGAACCTGGGACCCTTCAGCCCACAGGCCGACAGTGTATCCACTGAGCCAAACCAGCTGAGGCCATTTCTGCATTTCTTACCAGCAACGCGGTGATTCTGACCATGCCGGCCCAGGGACCGCCCTCGGAGTAGCAAGTCCCTGGGTGAATCCACCGGCAGGCAAGTTAGGGAATTACTTCATCCAGGGCCCGGATGTTCAACTCTGGCTGCAGCTTAGACCTTGTGAGGAGCTAAAGAAAGAGCCTGCCCCCAGATACCCCGATGCCATGGGTGTGAGGGCCTCCCCCGGGCTGCAAGATGTTTTAAAAGCTCCCCAAGGGGCCTCCTAATTGTCAGCGAAGCGGGCACTGCCGCAGTCCATTCCTATTAACAGGAGGCTTTGTCCAGGTGCCTGAGGCCGTAACACAGCGGGTGGGGCCTCTGAGGCCCAGCTCAGCGCTCACACACCCTCCGTTTGGGGGGCTAATGGCTCCTCAGCCTTGTCAAGCAGCGGCCCTACGGGCCCACCTGGCGAGTGGGTGAAGATGGCTGAGCCTACACGGGTAGGGAGCTCCCCGAATCCTAGAGCGGAGGTCAGTGATGACGGGAAACGTCCCCCTCCCCCTCCTGCCTCATTTAATGGGGTTCAGCCGCCAGGCTTTCCCTGCCCCCCAGATCCAAGTCAGCACCATAACCAGCGGCCAGCGGCTGCCCGTCCTGGCAAAGCTGGTGCCGAAGCCGCCAGAAGGCGTGGTCAGGAGGCCTCCGCTTGGGAGGGGGTCTCAGGCTGAGGGCAGAGACTGAGGCGCCAGAGGGAGGGGACAGAACGGTCGAAGGTGAGCATGGACCGGAGGGGCAGGTTGGCGGGTGGCCAGCAGCGGGCTGGGGAGCGTGGAGCTGGCCGGCGTGGCGGGCGTCAGGCCCGTGTCAGGAAGACCCTGCCCTCCACGCTCCACTCCACACGGCGCCTGCAGCCTGGCACCGAGGGCAGGAGGGCGAGCAGACGGACCTGGTTCCCGTCTCACCGCACCGCGAGCCGGCAGTGTCCTCGGCACATGGCATGTCCTCGTGGAGCCTCGGTTTCCCTGGGGATGAAGTGGGGGTGATGACAGTGCCTCCTGGGGCTGCCCTGAGCCCCGCCTGCGGCCATGTGTGCAGATGGCCCAGGCCCAGGCCCCCCTGACCGGCTCCCCTTTGTTTTCAAGGTCACGCTGCTGTCCTTCGCTGTGGAGTCAGAGTGCACGTTTCTCGACTACATCAAAGGAGGGTGAGGAGACGCGCAGCCCCGTTTCCGCAGCCTCAGGGGGAGGGAAGGGGCCCCAAACCCCTGGCTACCCACACCCTGACCTGGCACCTGTCCTTGGCAGAGCCGGCTCCCTCTCCGTGAGCTGCTGGCTGGAGCCTCCAGGCTTCCCCGGCTGCCTGGGCCCGGACCCTGCAACCCTGGTTCTTTCTGCGCCTTGCATGCGTGTTTGACCAGCTGCCGGTCCTGGGACTACTCCCTGGCCCACCCCCCACGCTCTCCGGCCCCTGAGGGGCCCCTCCTGGCCCCTGGGGGCCTGGCTCAAGTCTGAGATCCTCGTCTCCGAGCAGCCTGGCTCTGAGCTCTGCCTGCCCGGGAGGCGGCCTGGGGCCAGCGGGCACGCCGGGTCCCTGTGCCGGAGGAGCCGGAGGTGGTGGGGACTCCAGGCCAGAGTCCCAGGGCGTGGGAGGTGGAAAGAGCCTGGACTGGGAGGCACGAGGCTCAGGCTGCAGACCCCTCTTTGCCCTGAATTTCTGGGTCCCTCCGGCAGGTCCCTGTCGTCCCAGGGATCGGTTTCCTCCTACGAACACAGGAGGTTGGAGTTCGGGGAATTCTAAGAGTCCTTCCTGCTCTGAGCTCCTGATGCTGTCTGCGCGGCAGCCATTGACCTGCCTGGGGCCATGGGGGCCATATCAGGGGCCGGAGAGCGTGGGGGGTGGGCCAGGGAGTAGTCCCAGGACCGGCAGCTGGTCAAACACGCATGCAAGGCGCAGAAAGAACCAGGGTTTCAGGGTCCGGGCCCAGGCAGCCGGGGAAGCCTGGAGGCTCCAGCCAGCAGCTCACGGAGAGGGAGCCGGCTCTGCCAAGGACAGGTGCCAGGTCAGGGTGTGGGTAGCCAAGACCCACAGGTGCAGGCAGGTGAGTAACTACACCTGTTTGGAAAGCAGACAGGAGGGCAGCTGCCAGAGGCTCATCCCAGCCAAGTGGGCGCTCGGTGCCTGGCTCTCCGGGGCAGAGGGCACGGGCAGGGCCTGGGCGGCCACGCCCGCTCTCCCGCCACCACCGTCTCCAGCGGGGAGCTCTCCCCTCCGCACGGAGCACACACGCCCTTCCCACGGTCACCGAGGCCTCCTGCCCCCTCCCTGCCTCCTGAGCTCTCCCCACCTGCCCTCACTCCCGCCCTCATCAAACCACGCTGCTCCCATCCAGTAAGCAACCGCCCCTTCCCTTCCGTGCGCCTGGCAGTTTCCAGTCCTGTTTCCCCTTCTCATTTGCATCATACCCCCAAGGTGCAGGGCGAAGAAGATCTTCATTTTATTTTTTGAAATTCAATGTTACCTTTATTGTTGAAATTATTCCATGGGTTCCCTTTCCCCCATCGGCCCCTCCAGTGGAGCTTCACTATAGCTTCCCGAGGCCGTGGGCCTGGTGGCAGGTTCCTCCTGTCACCACAGCTGCATTTCTGCCACAGCTGGCACTCTCCCTGCCTGCCTCCGGCGCCCGGGCAGGTGGGTGCAGTGAGGTGGGTGCGGGTGGGGTGGGTGGAGGTGGGGTAGGTGCGGTGGGGTGGGTGGAGTGGGGTGGGTGCGGGTGGGGTGGGTGGAGGTGGGGTGGGTGCGGGTGGGGCGGTGGAGGTGGGGTGGGTGCGGGTGGGGTGGGTGCAGGTGAAGTGGTGGAGGTGGGGTGGGTGCAGGTGGGGTGGGTGCAGGTGGAGGAGGCCGAGTTAAAGGGCCGGGCACTGTGACGTCTCCTGGAGCCTCCGTGGTTGGCGGCTGCTGGGCAAAGCTGGCGCCTGGAGTCCCGGGCAAGTCAGAACTCAGAGCCGCCCTGGCTACCCCTCCTGCACCCGCCCCACGCCTCCCTGCACCCGCTGGAGAGCCGGAGAGCCGGCCCCGGGCGGCGAGGGCCCCGCGTGCGTGTCCGGGCAGGCGGCTGATGGCGACATGTGTCGGGATCCTCGCCTCCCTCCCTCCCTCCCTCCCTTGCCCACCTGGAGGGTGGGGTAGAGAAGGGACACCTCTGCCCCAGGTCAGAGATGGAGCTGGCTGCTCGGCAGCCGCGTCCCGCCCTGCCGTGCCCTCGGGCAGGACAGGTGAGCGGCAGGGAGGAGCGTTCCCACAGACACCGCTTTCCGCTCCCTGCGCTCCGAGTCATTCCAGAACCCGGAGCGGTGCCCTCAGCCGCAGTCCCGCAGGCCAGACCCGCCCTCCCAAGGGCAGCCGGGGAGCCAGGCTCCTCCCGCCCAAGGTGTCCCCTCTGCTCATGCAGACACAGTCTCTGTATTCCCCCTGAGAGGGGACGAGGAGCAGCAGTGAATAGAGTAGGTCAGCTGCTGTAACAAATAATCCCCCACCCTCGAGGCTTCATACAGGTAAAAGCTTATACGGTATTTCATTCTCGGGGTGGCAAGGTTGGCTGGGGAGATGCTCCACGCAGTCACTCAGGGACCCAGGCCCTTGCCATCTTGTGGCTCCTTCTCCCTCAGAGCTTAGAGTCCGTCAGTGCTCTGCCCCCAAGCAGCAGCCCAGGGGGAGGTGGTGTGGAGAGACCTGTCTCTGGCCAGCAGGTCCTGGCTTGGGTCTCCTGCTACCCACGTCCTTCACGCTTCCTGGGGGACAAAGAGTCCATGAGCAGTGGCTCAGCTGTGATTAGGCGGAGAGAGGGCTGTGGTTCTGATAGGGACTGTCTTCTACCTGCAGGTGAGGTGAGCCCTGTCTCATCTTACACCACCCCTGGCCCCAATTGGGAACCACCATGACAGCTTCCCCAAGTGCGATCCCGTAACAGAGCTTCCCCAAGTGTGACCCCGTAACAGAGCTTCCCCAAGTGTGACCCCGTAACAGAGCTTCCCCAAGTGTGACCCCGTAACAGAGCTTCCCCAAGTGTGACCCCGTAACAGCGCTTCCCCAAGTGTGACCCCGTAACAGAGCTTCCCCAAGTGTGACCCCGTAACAGAGCTTCCCCAAGTGCGATCCCAGTCAGGGCCACCTTGGCACTCCTCAGAATCCTGAATGAGGCCAGAGGATGTTCATTAAAGAGGCAGACTCTGGGCCCATCTCGGGCCGACTGGGCTGGCATTCCCAGGAGAGGTGCCCTGCAATCTTCCTTTTAAACAAGTCCCCCCTCTCCCGCCTTTTTTTTTTTTTAACATAAAATTTCTTTTTTTTAAAAAAATATATTTTATTGATTTTTTACAGAGAGGAAGAGAGAGAGGGATAGAGAGTTAGAAACATCGATGAGAGAGAATCACTGATCAGCTGCCTCCTGCACACCCCCCACTGGGGATGTGCCCGAAACCAAGGTACATGCCCTTGACCGGAATCAAACCTGGGACCTTTCAGTCTGCAGACCGACGCTCTATCCACTGAGCCAAACCGGTTTCGGCTAAACAAGCCCCTTGATGACTGTTCACCCAGCATGGGGACCGCGAGGCCGGACTGTCTCAGGGGCTCCTGTCTTGTCAGCTTTGCTCTGTGAGCACCCAGCATGGAACCCGGAACAGCCACGCCTGAGGCAATTCCAGCCTCGAATCTGGATTTTTTATGGAAAAATCCCAAGCACACCCAGAAGTGCAGGGGAGGTGCCCTTCGCCCGGATGCAGCAGTCACCAGCTCATGGCCAATCTTGTCCCACCCTCTCCCCCTCCCATGCGATGATTCTGAAGCAAATCCCAGACTTAGTTCATTCCCCCACGTCCTTCAGGATGTGTCTCTGCAACTTAAGGACTCTCTTTGTCAATTATAACCAAGTATCGTAATCACACCTGGAAACAGAGAGTTCCTACATACCACATAGCTCGTCAGTGTCCAGATTTCCCGTTGAATTATAACGTTTTCAATTGGCTTCGTTGAAGCCGAAATCCAGGCAAGATCCATATACAGGATTGGGCAAAAGTAGGTCTACAGCTGTAATACAAATAAAAAATAGAATCATTAATATAAGAATAAACCGTGTTTCCTATACTCACAACTTTTGCCCATCCCTGTATCTGGGTTGGCTGATTCGTCTCTTAATTCTCTTTCCTCCTATCAGTTCCTGCCCCTACACCTGCGGACAGCTCTGACTCTGTGGGTCTGCAGGAGCCTTGGGGTCCTCCGTGTCCCCCGGTGACCCCGCTTCTGCTGGTCCCTAGGCCGTGGTGTTCCAGAAAGACCCCCCTCAAACTGGCTTTCACTGGCCGCACACCCCCACCCCCGCGGTGCCCTCCGACCCTGTGCTTCCTGTGAGCCACTGGTAGATGCTCTGGAGGCTCAGTCCCGTTCAGGTTCATTTGGGGGCCAGACAACTTCCTGGCGGTGTTTGTGCTTCCCTCCGGAGATGGACAATGTCTATTTGTTTCTCTCCTTTTTTGTCAAATAAGTTTTAACTCTGAATCTGACTCCACGTTCGAGCCAGAAACACAGTGAGACTCTGCTTCCCAGGCTCTGGGGCCCGGGGCCGGGTTTGGGGAGTAATCACTTGTCCGCCCAGAGCATCTGTGCCCTCCACCAGATTCCCCGCCTGGCTCTCTGATGCTCACAGTCATCCTTTTGGGGGGCCACAGTGGGGGCAGGGCGGGGCTGGTGTCACATCCCAGTTTTCCGATGGAAACACCGCACACCGGCCAGCAGCGGGCTGTGGGCCTGGCTTCTCATCCTCCCGCCCTGCGCCCCTCCCCCAGCGCCCGCTGCCCGGTAACTCCCCGCTGTCCTCCCTCTAGGACCCAGATCAACTTCACCGTAGCCATCGACTTCACAGCTTCCAACGGTGAGTGGGCGGCCGAGGCCCTGGGCGGGGAGGGGAGGAGAGAGGGTGCTCGTTCGTTCTGCAGCCAGGCCGGCCATCCTCCCTGGCCTCGTCCTCACTGAAGAAAAGGCGCTTAGGCCCCGAGAGCCAAAGGGGGCGCCACCGTCACCACAGGTCTGGGCCCGGACCACAGCCTCGCCCTGAGGGCGCCCGGTCTCCCTGTGGGGACCGGACGGACTGCTCTGGGCCCGGGAGAGCCCATGCCCTCTGCAGGGCAGCCCCTGGGCGGGAGGGGAGACGGAGTCAGGCTGAGCGTGTGGTCCTCCGTGAGGGCAGACACGCAGCCCAGGAGCCCGGGCCTCTCCCGGGTGGGGGCCCCCCACCTCCTCGCCGCCGCTGACCGTCTCCGGTGCCGGCTGGGACCGAGCCCCCGGGAGCACTCAGGGCCGGGCCTCGCTCTGTTAGAGACATCGCCCCCTTCTGTGGGGTCTGGGCCCGTCAGCGGTGCTCAGTGCCCATCAGAGGACACCCAGGCCTCATGGCACACGTGTGTCAGAACCCCAGCCCCACGGAGGGCGGTGGGATGTCAGAGTTGGCAGGGGCCTCCGTGGTGCTAACAGTGAGGTGGGGACTGCTATCCCCATTCTGCAGATGAGGAGACTGAGGCTGAGGTTAGAGAGCTCACCCAAGACCACACGGCTGGTGGGAGTAGGACGGGGTTGGTGCCTTTGCAGCCTGTGCGGACTGCCTCTCACGAATAAATAAGTAAAACGTGGACAGCATTTAGTGGAGATAAAGGCGAGGAGAAGGGACAGAGAGGGAGGTCGGGGAGGCTGTGACCTTCAGCGGGCCGCGGGGAAGACCACCGGGAAGGTGGAACCTGAGAGGCGGGGGAGCAAGGCACGTGGCCCCTGCGGAGTGACCCCGGGCAGAGGCCAAAGCCCTGAGGGGACAGGGTGAGTGACAGGACGGGCAGGCGGTGAGGACAGAAGTACCCGGAGCTGGTCCTGTGGGAAGTTGGGTTTAACTCCGCTGAGGTGGGAGCCTCAGAGCCTGCAGAGCAGAGAGGGGTGGCGTCGGGCGGCCTGCGGAGTGAGGTCGCTGGCTGGTGTGCTGAGCGTGGGGCACAGGGCGAGGGGGCAAGGGAGCAGGAGGCTTGGGATCCTGGGACCTGATATTCGTTGAGCTTAGCAGCCAGGCTTGGCTAAAGGACGGGACGTGCAGTAAGACAGAGCGGCGTCAGGACAAACAGACCATAGCCAGCGGTGCCGTGGGACGCCCCTCTGACTCCGAAGCCCGGGGGGCTGGGCGTGTGCACGCCGGCACACGCTCCGTGTCCCGTGTCCCATGGCCCGGCCGCAGGGAACCCCTCGCAGTCCACGTCGCTGCACTACATGAGCCCCTACCAGCTGAACGCCTACGCGCTGGCGCTGACCGCCGTCGGGGAGATCATCCAGCACTACGACAGCGACAAGATGTTCCCCGCCCTCGGCTTCGGCGCCAAGCTGCCCCCCGACGGCAGGGTGTCCCACGAGTTCCCGCTGGTAGGAGGTCCCCGAGGGGGGGGCTGAGGGATGATGGGGGGGGGACCTCCTTCTTACAAGCCCGGGGTGGGGCACCTCCCCTCTTACCCGTTAGGGACTCCAGGGGCAGCCTGGGCGGGGGGGTGCCGCCTGCTGTGTGCAGGGGGTCTGGAGCTGGGCCTCCGGAAACCCCGCCCTCCTTGCTCACAAACACTCCCATCGTGTCTCAGGCCACCACAGTGGCTCTGGCCTCCTTTTCCTGACAAGACCGGGTCCCCCAAGGCTCCGGAAATGAGGAGGGGGTGTGGGCTGGATACGGGCAGCTGGGGGCAATTCCAGGAGCTCCCTGGGCTGGTGCTGATGGGCGCCGTGTGGGGATGACTCCTCAGGCCACCTCCTCCCCTCCCTGCCATGAGCTGGGGACTCCGAGTCAGTTCCTGTCAGAGTCAGCAAACGCCCTCCCAGCCTGCAGAGCGCCAGCCCTATGCTGGGCACAGGACGAGATGGGGCCTCAGCAGCCACTTCCCAGCCGGGCTGCTGGGGGCTTCTCTGGGCAGGTGCAGGGTGTGGGGTGAGGAGCAGGTGCTACCCTCCAGGGGGGCCCCCACACTGTCCCCCACCCCTCCCCCAGGGAAGCGTGTAGGAGAGCCCAGGCTGCGGGCCTCTGCCCCTGCTCCCATGGCTCTCCGCCTTCCCGCCCTCCGCCCTCCCGGCTCAGCCTCCCTCCTCGCCCCCAGAACGGCAACCAGGACAACCCGTCGTGCTGCGGCATCGACGGCATCCTGGAGGCCTACCACCAGAGCCTGCGCACCGTGCAGCTCTACGGCCCCACCAACTTCGCGCCCGTCGTCACCCACGTGGCCCGGTGAGCCGGTGTGGCCCGCCCCGGCCTTCCAGGGAGCCTGGCCCTCAGAGAGCCTCCCGCCAAAGAACCCCGTGTGTGTGTGTGTGGGGGGGGGGGGGTGGCATGCCCAGAGCCTCCCTGACAGCCCCCCCCCCCCCCCCCCCCGCCCCAGGAGCGCGGCCGAGGTGCAGGACGGCTCCCAGTACTCCGTGCTGCTCATCATCACCGACGGCGTCATCTCCGACATGGCGCAGACCAAAGAGGCCATCGTCAACGTGAGCCGCGGGCCGGGGCCGCGGGGCCCCTCTCCTTCCTCAGGGAGCCGCTGGGCCTGGCTCCCCTCTCCCGCCCCCGGGGGGGGGGGCACCTGGCTCTGGCTGCAGCATCTGGAGGGCCTGGCCCTGGGGGGGGGCATCGGTCCATGGTCCCACCGGTGAGCTCCCACCCACTCTGAGTCACGCTGGGTGGTCTGCTCCCCCGGCCCCTCCGGCTCCTCGTTAGTGGCCCTCAGCCCTCGGCCTGGCCAGGCGGGGAGCGTGGAAGTCCAGGCCACACAGCGCTGCCACACAGGAGGGAGGCCGGAGGCACAGGAGGGAGCGGGCCTGGCAGAAACAGGCCTGTGGCCCCCGGCGCCCTCACCCTCTCCCCTGCTTTTCTGTGTTTCTGTGTCTCCATCTTCTCCCCTCCATTTCTCCCGTCCTCCTGACTCCTTCTCTGATCTATCCTCGGTCCCTAAACATGGTCTCCTCCTCCTTTTAACGGGCCCCAAACACCCCACCTCCTGCTGTCTCACAGGCTGCCAAGCTGCCCATGTCCATCATCATCGTCGGCGTGGGCCAGGCGGAGTTTGACGGTGAGTCCCCACTCCCCGCTCCGGAGGCTCCGGCCCCGGCAGGGCCCGTCCCGCAGGGAGACGCCCACCGGCCTGTGTGCTCAGCTGGCAGGCGGGTGTTTGCACCGGGGCCTGTGTCAGGGCGCCCGCACCCACACCCCGAGGCTGCGAGGCTGTGGGAGGCGTCCTGGCAACTCCCTCCCCACCCCCGCCCCCCCATCTGGGAGCCTGGGAGCGGGAGCTGGAGGCGGGGCTGGAACTCGGCACTCACCGGTGGGCTTCCCCGGTTTCCTGGCCTCTGTTTCCCCGACTTTGACATGGGCCTCTGCCCGATGGGCCTGGAATTGGCCCCTGACTGCCCCCTCGCCCACGCCTGCCCCCCCCCCCCCCAGCCATGGTGGAGCTGGACGGCGACGAGGTGCGGATCTCCTCCCGAGGGAAGCTGGCCGAGCGGGACATCGTCCAGGTGAAGCCCTGCTGCCCCCGCGGCTGACCGCCCCTCCCCGGGGGCTTTTCCGGAACGGCCAGCGGGCGGCCTGGGAGCCCAGGTGGTCCTCGGGTCTCAGCACCCAGCCGTGCCTGAGACTCACCCCTATCATCGCCCGCCCAGCCCCCCCCCCCCACACCCCAGGCCTCCGTGGGCTCCTGCAGAGCACGGCTCCCAGTTATTGCACCTTCTGTGTTCTGCCGGGCGCCCCCTGACACCTCCCGCCTCCTCCCCCACCCCCGCAGCTGGCAGCCCCTGGAGGGAAGGGCTAGGGGACAGGCCCTCAGTCTCCGTGTGGGATGCAGGTGTCACGAGCAGGCAGCCCTCCCGCAGCCCCTGGGGACAGAGCCCCCCACTAGGCGATGTGGAAAGAACAGCCCTGGGTTTAAGACTGGCCGGGAGGGGTCCGTCCTGGCGTGGAGACCAGATCGGGGCTGGATGCCAGAGCAGGTCTGGGAGGTGGCACCTGGACGCAAAGGCCTGGGCAGGAGTGACTGGGGCCTGGGACCCCCCTGGGAGGAGGCAGAGGGGCCTGGCATAGGAAGGGGGCTCTGCCGGAGGGGGGCTGCCTGAGGGCCCACCTCCCGGAAGCCAGGGACCCACTCAGCATCTCCTAAGTGCCCGCTCAGTGCCCACTGCCCAGACCGTGGGCGGAGGGGTGCGGTGAGCACCCTGGCGTGGACTCGTGTTTGTGGGAAGAGAGGGCAGAGGTCGGGGGAGAGGGAGGGGGCAGGATCTCCGGCCGGGAGGTGTGGGGGCTGCGTCCAGGCAGAGCCCTCGCCTCACCCTGCCTCCCCCGCCGGCCAGTTCGTGCCCTTCAGGGACTACGTGGACCGCACGGGCAACCACGTGCTGAGCATGGCGCGCCTGGCCCGCGACGTGCTGGCCGAGATCCCGGACCAGCTGGTGTCCTACATGAAGGCCAAGGGCATCCGCCCGCAGCCCCCGCCCGAGGCCCCCGCCGGCTCCCCCTCCCAGTCCCCGGCCCGCACGCCCCCCGCCTCCCCCGGCCACCCGCCCATCTGAGCCTCCCGCGGTGGGCGCTGGGCCTGGGGGGGCAGGAGGAGGGCACGCTGGGTCCCTGAGCCCGCCATCGCCTGGCCCGGCCGCTGGGACCCGTGTGGCTGAGGACCAGCCTCTGGAGGCGCCTTCCCGTTTCCTGGCCTCCCCAGGGAGCGGGGGTGCGGGTGGGAGAGGCGGGCTCCAGCCCCGCTCCTCTCCTCCTCCCCTGGCACCTGGGTCTAGCCCAGCCATGGGGGTGTTAGCAATCAGGCCGATGGGTCCCCTCAGCACCCTGGACAGTCCCCGCCGCTCCCCTGGGGCGCTGAAGCCTGGGCGGGGCCTCCCTCCCTCGGGCCCCCTCGCCCTCCCTCCTCCTGTGCCGTCCACTCAGCTCCCCAGCCCCGACCCCCACCCCAGCACCTACCCTGTCCCTGTGCCCGTGAGCCCCAGGAGGCGGACGGTTGGCAGGAGGCCTGGCCGTGTGGACCCCGCGGCTCCGTGAAGGGGCGGCTGTGCTGTGGCCCGCAGGCCGCCCGATGGGCCAGCCATGGAGGCTTTCCAGGCACCAGGTCTTCTCCGTGCCCCCCCCCACCCAGCCCAGCACGGCACTGGCTCTAGACACAGAGCCACCGCCTCTCCCTGGCCAGGGGGCCCATGGCCCCGGTGGACTCCGAGCTCCAGGCACCCCACCTCCCCCCAGAGGCCGCCAGGGTCCTTGGTGCCCACTCCTCTGCCGCCCACCTAGAGGCCTGGGCCAGGAGCAGCCCAGCCCCGCACTCCCACACGGCCCTTCCCCCCACAGACAGGAGCCAGGGCCTACTGGGGGAGCCTTGGTATCCACATCTGTAAAGCAGGAGGGTCGACCAGATTGTCTCGGGGTTACTTTCTGCCCTGAGGCCCTGAGAGTCCATCCATCCCATGCCAGCATCCCCATCCCACCCTCCCCCACGCCACCTCCTGCTCCAGGCCGTCTTGGCCCCAGGGTCCCTGTTCCATCCTCGGGCTCTGCCCTCTAAGCCCCTGCCCTGCCCCGGCCCCGGCCCCGGCCGTGGGAAAGGCGAGGAAGGTGATCTCACCCCTGGGCACACCCGCGGCCCGGCCTTTCCACACCCGGGAGCAGGCCATGCATGCCAGTCCCTCTGCCGCATGGGGCTCCTCAGCCCGCCGAACGCCCTTCCCGTCATGCATGATGGTGGAGTTTCTACGCCGTCTGGTCCCGTGCCTGTGTCTGAGAGTCTCTGTGTGGAATTTGCCTTAAACTGAAGTAAATTTGGTTCTTTTACTATAAAAGCTCCTTGTTTTTCTTTCTCCCGGGACAAATAGCACAGAGGCTGCTGCTTGGCAGAGCCCAGGTTCTCGTCTCTCTCTCTCTCTTTCCTTCTTTTGTTCAACAAGGATTTATTAGCCACAAGTGTGTGCCAGGGTCTGTGCTGAGCACTGGGATGTGGCAGTGAGCCAGTCACAGACCCCGTCCCCACATGGAGTTCACCACAGACGCAGACAGGACAGGAAAACGCAGCAAGCACATAAACACAAAGCAAACAGCGTAATTCCAGGTGGTGGTAAGTTACAAACATTTTGAGAGAATAAGAGGAGAGATTAACAGGATGATCTTTTATTTATTTTTTATTTTATGAATCCTCACCTGGGGATATTTTTCTGTTGATTTTTAGAGAGAGTAGAAGAGAGGGGGAGACACAGAGAGAAACATCAATGTGAGAGGGACACATCGACTGGTTGACTCCTGCATGCGCCCTGACGAGGGCCAGGGCTTGGATCTGCAACCTAGGTACATGCCCTTGACCGGAATCGAACCCAGGACCCTTCAGTCCACACGCTCTATCCACTGAGCCACACCAGCTAGGGCCAGGGTAATAGTTTAGGTGAAGTAGTCCGTGAGGGCCTCTCTGAGGAGGTGCCGTTGGAATGAGTCCTAAGGAAATGAGAGAGGGAGGCAGGAGCGCTCCACGTAAAGGGAGCAGCAGTGCAAAGGCCCTGGGGTGGGCGTGCTTGGTGTGCTTGGAGGACAGCAGGAGGCCCGTGTGGGAGGAGCTGCAGGGAGAAGGGCTGGTGTGGGGGCTCAGGTCAGGGAGCTGAGGAACCCAGGCTCATGGCAAGGCCTCAGTGTGGCTCATTGGAGGAGAACGAGGTAACACGATCAGATTGTTGTCTAAAACGAGTGGGAAAAACAAACAAACAACAACGAGGAATTTATTTAGACGTTAACATGTCCCCTTTCCCCAAATCGTAGAGCTACCTTAAAAATAAGTAAGTAGCTGGAACCGGTTTGGCTCAGTGGATAGAGCATCAGCCTGTGGACTGAAAGGTCCCAGGTTCGATTCCGGTCAAGGGCATGTACCTTGGTTGCGGGCACATCCCCAGTGCGGAGTGTGCAGGAGGCAGCTGATCGATGATTCTCCCTCATCGATGTTTCTGGCTCTCTATCTCTCTCTCTCTCTCTGTACAAAATCAATAAAATATATATTTTTAAAAAATGAGTAAGTAGAACAAGTGGGTCACTTTATTGCACTTGATCATTCACTCACTCACCTTTCAGCAAGCGTTGGCTGAGCATTGGTGCCAGGCCCCTCTCGGAGGCGGAGAGCCTGGCTCACACTATTGCACATGTGTCAAACACAAGGCCCGCGGGCCAAATTCGTCCCGCCAGGCCTTGCAATGTGGCCCGCACCGTGCTGTCATCACTGCACTCCGCTGCGTTTCCATCACAATGACAGTTTATGACTGTTCAGTAAACCATTCGGCCCACGATTTAGGATGGATTTTAGATTTTGGCCCCTTCTCTGATTGAGTTCGACACCCCTACACTATTGCATCCTCAGGGCGCTGCCCTTGCTCTGGAGCAGTGGGCAAGGACCTCCTACTCCCTGGGGACCCCCCCACCCCTGGCCAAGCCAGTGGGTGGGGCCAGGGTCTGCGGGCAACTCACAGGCCATGAGCCACGATGGCTACTGCTCCTCCCACCACTCCTCCCTCCCAGGGTTAGGGTGTGGCCAGACGAGGGACAGGTAGCTATGCACACGTGGAGCATGAGCCGGACCAGGACCCGCTGCGCTGTGGCTACAAACAGACCCTTTCCTCCTTGTCCCGCTCCACATGGAAGTCACTGAGGCCATCGGGGCCTGGTGTGCTCTCAGATTAGGCCTCCCGGAGCCATCCCGATCTGCACATCACAGAAATTTGGTACTGATTCGACCAACGTTTGGGACTTATTGAGTTCTTAGGATCTCGTAGTAAAGGAGCTCACCCTGGCCGTCCCTGTGATTAGCTGCCCCTCGGACGTGCATTCCTATGTGCTGGAGTGGGAACCGGGCACGGGCACGGCTCGGGAAGAGGGGCGTTCCCACGGCCAGCGCCCATTTTACCTCCTCTGGGGCGCTGTGGAGGAATGCCCACCTGGCAGGAGGAACCAGGCTCGGAGCCACAGCCTCGGGGTGCGAGAGCCTCTTTATTGTGCTCCACATGGTGACTCCGCCCCGGGTTCTTTCCCAGGGTGTGTTCCCTGGCACACCAGTTCCCTGGCACGGGTTTTAGGGAACTGCCAGCTCTGAGCGCCTCTTAGAAAAGCCAAGTGGCCGTTAGGGCATTCAAGGCTCTGATAAGTCCTGCAGCAAAGAGACCAGTTTTCTTGGTTCAACCCAGTGTTTGACCGTGGAGTCAGTGTGCGTGCGTGTGTGTACGTGTGTGTGTGTGTGTGTGTGTGTGTGTGTGCGCTTTGCTGTAGCACTATTACCAAGCAGACCAAGCTGTCTGGGAATTTCAGTGGAGACAATATTCCTGGTTCCCAGGCCAACACACAAGCCTGAGCCTGCTCCCAGGAGGCCAGAGAGAGCGTGTAGATTTGGAGGAGGAGAGATGGAGGCCTCTGTTTGCTCTGCAGAGAAGGAAGGGCCTCGAAGGGGCCCCTTCCCCAGCCACGCAGAAAGGAGAACTACGGAGAAGAACGCAGGGCACTCAGAAATCCACAGGCCCAGACTCATGGCGCCGTGGCTGACTATTTGTGTTCCCTCGCTGGGCCAGGAGGTTATTGTGTGACAGCTGGGGGAGGGCAGGCAGAGGAGGGGAGGCTGTTAGTCGGGGTGAGGAGCAGGCAGGGTCTGATAGGCAGACCTGGGCTCCGACCCACCATCAGCAGCATGAGCCCATTGGCCGGCAGCCCCACCGGCAGGCTGAGGCCAAAGAGCCGGACAAAGCAGTCACTCAGGTGTAGCTGTTGGCCGGGCAGTGACATGGCATCGGGCTCTCTTCCGCTCCAGACACATAAGGGCGCATAGAAAGCAGCCGGAGGGCCGCCCCCTTCTTTCCCCTCTGGAGCCCAATCTTTCCGCAGACCCCTTCGTACAGGAGACGCCCCGGACGGGGATTATCCCCTTCAGGCCTCACAGCAACCTGCTGGGACGGGCTCTGCCAAGGCCGGGGTTCCAATCCCGGCTCTGCTACCTGGTAGATCCAGGACCTTGGGAGAAACCTAATGTTTCTCTACCTCGGTTTCCTCAACTGTAAGAAGTGAGGAAATAAAGAAAACAAAACGATGTCAACAGTCACTGTCGTTAAAGGGCGAGATCCAGGTAATTTTCATTTTTTTCCTTTTTAATTTCTTATTTCTAAAATTTCTTCACTGAGTACAAATGGAATCTGTTAGATAAATATCATGGATGGAGATGGAGGTGGAGTGGAGGTGCAGGTGGAGGTGGAGGTGGAGGTGGAGATGAAGATGGAGAAGATGCATGCTTTCTTCTTTGAGCAAAAAGACCTTGACCTTGAAACAGGAGATTTTAACTTGAGATTCATGTATGAAAGTGGGTGCCACAGGCTTTGAAAAGGAGACACAAGTCCTGACCACTTTTCCCAAATTTGTCTGCACTGTGGAGTCACTGGAGGCGTTTGAAAAGGTAATGCACGGGTCCCACCCCCAGAGACATGATTTATTGGTCGGGGTTTGGCGGCCACTTAGAGCCTACAGTTTGCAGGGTGGGAAGGGCTGCATCCCAGCCGTTACCTCCCTCCTCGCCCCCACTCCACCCTCAGGCCGAGGGCAGGGGGCACCTGATTGGGAGGACGCAGCCTGGGAGACAGGGTGCAGACCCAGAGTCAGCGCACGGCTGGTGTCGCCCCCTGCTGCCTTGAGGGGAGGATGGATGCCCTCCGGCCTGCAGTGGGGAGAGTCCAGCCCGTATCTCAACAAATGAGTATTTCCTGAGTGCTAACCCTGGGCCAGGTGCTGGGGACCCGGCGCAGTGGGGTCCTCATTCCAGTCCGCCCCCTTTCCCCCTACGTTGGGGACAGGACTGGAGGCCCTCTCCAGCTGGCTCAGAGCCAGGGCCGAGGATCCCCGAGCCCCTGCAGAGCCGGCTGAAGACCCTGCCTGGTCCCACCCTCCTTTTATTTATTTTTTTAAAATTTATTTTATTGAGTTTTAGAGAGAGGGGAAGGGAGAAAGAGAGAGAGGAACATTGCGAGAAAGAAGCATTGATTGGTTGCCTTCCACATGCGCCCTGACTGGGAATCGAACCAGCAACCCTTCGGTGACTGGGACGATGCTCAGCCAACTGAGCCACAGGGGCAGGGGCTCACCCCTCTCTTCTCAATCAGCCTCAAGCCACGCTGTGACCTGAGCCCCCGTGGCTGGCACGTGACCTGAGCCCCCGTGGCTGGCATGTGACCTGAGCCCCCGTGGCTGGCACGTGACCTGAGCCCCCGTGGCTGGCAGGTGACCTGAGCCCCCGTGGCTGGCAGGTGACCTGAGCCCCCGTGGCTGGCAGGTGACCTGAGCCCCCGTGGCTGGCAGGTGACCTGAGCCCCCGTGGCTGGCAGGTGACCTGAGCCCCCGTGGCTGGCATGTGCTGAGAACTCACCGCTTGCCCGGGAGTCCACTCTGCAGTCTCCCTGGAGTCCCTTCTGCTGCTGCCCGCTGCCTCGTGCTGCTCCGGGGCTGCTGGGCTCTGCCACTGATGTGGACCCTGTGACCCCGGAGGCCGGGCCCTCCACAGCGTGCTCTGCACGGAAGCTGGACTCAGCAGAGGAAGCCAAGGGGGTTCTGGGCACGAGTGCAGACCCTTCTGGCACCTTCTAGCACACATGTGTCAAACACAAGGCCCGCGGGCCAAATCCGTCCCGCCAGGCCTTGCAATGTGGCCCGCACCGCGCTGTCATCACTGCACTCCGCTGCGTTTCCATCACAATGACAGTTTATGACTGTTCAGTAAACCATTCGGCCGGCGATTTAGGCTGGATTTTAGATTTTGGCCCCTTCTCTGATTGAGTTCGACACCCCTATTCTAGCAGCTGCCTGAGCCGGGGCAGAGCAGAGAGAGAAGGGGCAGGCCCGGGCCACTTGTGCACTGGGTCCCCCAAAGGACAGGGCCCTGCCTGCTCTCCTGGCCCCTCAGGAGTCACTCCCTGCCTGCCTCCCTGACTCTGACCCTTAGGACAGATGCCACTGCCTACCAGCACCCTGGACCCCAGAGAAGGAGCCATTAGCAAGAGCAGGACTCGCCCCACCCCCGTGCAGGGCCAGGCACCCCTCACAGCACCCCAGCTTTCTGTGTGTCTTGCTCTGAGCACCACAGCCTGGGGACTGCTCTGAGTGGCAGGTCGAGGGCTGACTCAGAGGAGGAGACACTGCGGGGACAGGATCAGCCAGGGCTGGTGACAGGACAGGCTGGGCTGCGGAATCAGCCTGCACACAGGCCAGAGGTCAAACGAGGTCTATTAGGGGCATCTGGTCCCAGCTTGGCAGCTTCTGATGCCTGAATTTCTCCACCTCGCCCCTGGCCACGTGTCGCCTGGCTCCGGCTTCGGTGCCTCAGAGACTGGCCTGGGGCCTCCCTGTCAGAATGGAGCGGCGGGATGGGGCAGGCGGAGGCGGTGATCAACGGCAGGAAGGCGCCCGCCGGCCGCCGTCTCCCACTCTCCGCTTTCTCCTCTCTTGGTGCCGCTGTCTCTCTAGGTGTCTGTGCTTGTCTTGCTGTGAAGCTGGGGTTTCCTCTGATTCAGCTGAGGAATTCACCCAACGGATAGCAAAGGGCCCAGCTCGGTGAGCATGGCTGTGGTCACCAGGCGAGGAGCAGAACATGGGCAGCAATCGTTCTGCAGGAGGTTGTCCCACCCGGGTGGGACCGCTGGAGCCAGTGGTGAGACTGGGAACTCCCACAGCAGCTCTACCCAGCCACGCCCAGGCTCCCAGCGGCTCCCTGCCCCCCCTCACCCCCAGCTGTGCCTCCGGGGCACCCAGAGACTGACGCCTGGGGCTGAGGGCTGCACCAGGGGGCACTGGCCTTGGGCGGGGGCGGGATCCCAAACGTGGCCCCTTCGAGGCAGAGCTTGTGGGAGGGCCTGGGGCTCAGGAAATGCCGGGGTCGGTCAGGGACCAGAGGACAAGGCTCTCCCCAGGAATCCGTGCTTCTGGAGGAAACGCCGAGCTCCCAGACAGCTCTGTGAACGCAGCAAGGCCACGGCCTTTCCCGGCGGACAGCGGACAGCGGGCGGCTTTGGCGAGCAGAGGACTGTGTCGGTCACAGCGATGCCGGCTGGGAATCAGCACCAAAGCAAGACCCTGGAACAGCGTCTTCCCCTCAGCACACGTTTTTATTTCCGGCTCTATGGGAGCACCCGTCATCGCAGAAGACCCAAAAGGACAAATGTGTGAAAGAGAAAAACACCGCCACATCCACCCTGCCATTCCACTGCCCGGAGACGGTGGCTCACACTGTGGCGTGTTTGCCTTACGTGGTTTCTCTAGGCTTTTCCTTTCCCCCACCCCGAGGGTTATTCGCTCAGCAAAGTCCTTCTTCGGGGAGCAAAGCGCAGCGTTAGCGCGGCCCCGGCCCTGGGTCCGAGCCCTGACCGGGAGGATTCTCCGGGTCTGCCGAGCGGGGCCTCCGGCGCTGCTGTCCAGGCGGGCGAGCCAGGAGGCCGTCCCCGAGCCAGGCCGGCGGTCAGGAGCAGCAGCCAGCTTTCTTCGGCGGCCTCTCGGGGGCCACCTCCACCAGGGCGCCCTTCAGCAGGTCCTCCTGCCTCTTGAGTGACCTGCACGACCACAGGCGTCAGCCTCACTCTCAGCTCCCCGGGGTGCAGCCGGGGGACAGGAGAGCTGGGCCCCGAGCTGCCTCTCTCCTCCCTGCTCTGCCCCGCCCTACACGCCACGGGCACCAAAAAACGGGGCCGCAGAGACGGTGGGTTCCGTCTCTTTTCTGGCGTTCTGTCCAGCCTGCTACGTGCCAGGCCCGGTGCCAGGGCCTCCGATGTGACCGTGAAGCCAGAGCGTGCTGGCCTGGGGCAGCGAGGGAGGCAGAGGAGACGGTGGATCAGGACCCAGGATAGCGAAGCACCCAGAGGACTTCACACCAGGTCCAGGGGGTGAGGGAGGAGGGAAGAGGGAGGAGGGAGTGTTTGGCTGGAGGTGAGGGAGGAGGGAGGAGGGAGACAGTGTCTGCGCTGGGGGTGAGAGAGGAGGGAGGAGGGAGGAGAGAGGAGGGAGTCAGTGTCTGGGCTGAGACCCAGCAGTGGGCCAAGGTTTGCCAGCAGAAAAAGGGGTAGGATCCCTCCGTGTGAAGAGAAAGCTTGGGGATGGGGAAGGTAAAAGATTCCCGTTCGAGTTCATTCACTCATTCGTTCATTCATTCACCCATTCACAGCATGTTTACAGCCGATCATTGATGTTTCTCTCTCTCTGCCCCACTCCCTTCCTCTCTGAAATCAATAAAAATGTGTTTAAAAACAACAGCATGATATATATTTACTGTGTTCTGGGCCCTTTGCTAAATCACAGAGCGGAGGGCTGAGTGGCCGAGGAAGCCGTGGGGGCAGCGGGCTCAGGTTCTGGGGGCTCCCGTCCTAAAGCTCAGGGGAGCCGGGAGCAGTTTCTGCCAGAGGAGAGCATGGCTGACGGCTTACAGACGAGCCAGTCTCTGCCGTCACTTCACAGAGAAGGAGCCTGAGGTCAGCAGGTCTGATTCTCCTGCTCTGACTCTTCATTCGGTTATTGAGCACCTAGTGTTTGCCTGGTCCCAGGGGGAGGGGGAGGGGCCAAACAAAACAAACAGAGCCATGCCCCCAGGATCTACAGCCTGGGGCCGGGAGGAGGCAGCTGGCAGCAGGAAAACAGACGAATAATTATAAATTGTACCCCAACGCTTTGAAGGACAGAAACTTGAGATCCCGCATAGTTGGGGGAGGGGGTGGTCAGGGAGGCCCTCTGAGGGGCTGAAGTTTAGTGTGCGCATGCAGGTGTGCCTGCGCGTGTGTCTTCGTGTGCACGCATGTGTGAATGTGTGTACGTATGTGTGTGCATGTGTGTACGTACGTGCACGCGCGTGTGTATGTGTGTGCGTGCACGTGCGTGCGCCCGTGTGTGTGTGTGTGTGTGTGTGTGTGTGTGTGTGTGTAATGCAGGATGTTGTGAGGCATAGCACTGTATTATAAATCCTGCAGGAGTCACTAGAGGGTTGGGAACACTTTGCCATGAGTAAACTGAGGCTCCGAGCCCAGATGGGCTGGTGGAAGGGGCTGGTGGAACTGGCAGCTCTCCACGCTGGGCAGCCCTGTGACTTCCTGGGTGCTTGTCCTCCAGGCCGGGGGCTCAGGGTGGGGGCGGGCACTCACCTGGCCAGGCTCACCATGGGCTCCAGGATGTTGTGGCCCAGGGCCGCGCTGCACTCCCCGAAGGACAGCCCCAGCTCCTGCGGGCAGACAGACGGGTGGGTGCCGTGGGGGAGACCTGGGGTCCGGCAGGCAGCCAGCCACCACGGCCCGGCCCGGCCCGAGTCCCGCCAGCAGGTTCCGAGGCCGACCACGGGGCGAGGCAGCCCATCTCCGCATGGCCCAAGTCCCCGCCGCCCCTGCCCCCTGGCGGGGCGGTGTCAGTGCCACCCTGGAGAAATGTCTGCGATGCTTTTAAACCATTCGTTATGTTGTTCATTTCAATCGTATTTAATGGGGGGGAATATTAGAAAAGACAGCATTAAAAAAGTACACAATATAAACCACTCCTGTTGGCATATATATTTCCATTGTTTTATAGAACCCTTTAATGGGGGGGGGGGCCTAGATGCCGTTTAGCCATTAGATTAAGCCAAGGAAGCTGCTGTTTTATAGGCTCCAAGCACTCAGATTCCAGCAGCCTCATAGGGTGGACCCGATCTGTGCCCAGCTCTGCAGCTGCTCTTCCGACTTTACATTCCTCCGCACCCGTCCCCGTTCCCCAGGCGGGGTTCCCCAGGCCAGCGTCGGCCTCTCCCGGGAACTCCACGATCTAACTACCCCGCTGCCCGGTGCCTTCCTTATAAACACGTCTGCGTAAACATGTCTGATTACACATTGTGCACGGGGCTCGTCACGCTATTTCCAGGGACTGTTATTTATGCTGCTTTTGGGATAAATGGCTAGAGGAGGAATTACTGTGTCACCGGGATGAGCTACTGCTTTCAGAGGAAAACATTCCCGCCCCGCAGGCGCCACCGCGGTGAGCTCACGGCAGGCGGAGAGGAGAGCGAGGGCAGGGCTGGGGCAGAGGTGGGGCAAGGAGTGGCTCCTTTTTATTTTTCTATTTTCTCCTTACTATTCTCCAGATGTTTCGTCAGCTTCTACTCATAAATAAATGGTAACCACGGTCTGGTGGCGGGGCTTTTGATGTTAATCTTCCTGGGGAAGAATCGGAGTCTTAAAATAGATTAAATTAGAAGGAATGTTATGCTAATGAGAGGCCAGAGATAAAATTAGGGTTCGATGGGGGAATTTTAAGTGAAGCTTTTAAAACCTTTTTGCTCTGAAGCTATTTTTGACGTAGGTGGGGACACCGGGTGTGGGTCTGCGAACTCAGCAGAGAGGCTCCGTGTGGGCCCTCTGTCACTCAGGTCTGGGTCTGAGGCTGGGGTGGGAGGGAGGCAGAGGTGCCAGGCTGCTGCCCACACTGACCTGGCCTTTGGCCGGGCAGGGGCAGAAATGACCCATGGGTCCTTCTCTTTAAAAAAATTAAAAAATTTTAATTGATTTCAGAGAGGAAGGGAGAGGGATGGAAGGAGGGAAGGAGGAAGAGAGAGAGAGAGAGAGAGAGAGAGAGAGAGAGAGAGAGAGAGAGAGAGAGAGAGAGAGACTTCAATGATGAGAGAGAACCATTGACTGGCTGCCTCCTGCATGCTCCCCTGGGGATCAAGCCTGCAACCCGGGCATGTGCCTTGATTGGGAATCAAGATGATCAACCACTGAGCCACGCCGGCCGGGCCAGGGGCCCTTCCTGGATGCCAGGCCAGGGGGACCTTTTCACTGTCCCCAGGGAGCGGTCTGCCCGGTCCAGGCCGGGGAGAGGCCGACACGCAGGGCTCACCTGGGCCAGTTGCCGCCCCGCCTCGGTGGACACCTGCCGCTCCTCCTCACAGTCCATCTTGTTTCCCAAGAGAAGGATGGCCACTCCGTCAGGCCCCGAGTCCTGCACACAGAGCACATTCCCTCAGCACACCCGCCAGTGCCTGCTGCGTGCCAGGCCCCGGCCGACCTGGCCCTGACCTCCAGGAAGCTGGCAGCATGCCTCCTCCCCCCACAGACACCGCCTTTCCTGTCACCTCCTTCCACAGCCTCCCCACCTGGACATTCCCCCCATCTGCCATGAGGCTGCCTCCTCTCTGCCTGCAAACACGCCAACCTCAAAGCCCCCTCCCCCAGGGAGCCTTCATGGATTGATCCTGCCCAGGCCCCCCTCTGCCTGCCTGTGCGCAGCCGCCCAGTGCTGGCTGACACAGGGTTCTTTTCCTAATTGTTTCATGAAGAGCAATAATAACAGCTTTTATTCACAGAGTGCTGGCTGTCTACGGCGCTGTGCTGGGAGCTGTGGTGTCCGTGAGCCTCACGAGTCCAGGAGAGAAGCCGGAAAGGGAGTCTGGAGAGGCTGTCACTGACTTGGGGTGGGATAGATGGGCCCGGTCTGACCCCAGAGCCCAGCTGCCTTTGTATATGGCCTTATCTCACTCCTTCTGCACCTCTTCCACTAGGAACTTCTAGAAAGAAGACCCCGTGTCTTACTTCACATCCCTCTGCTGTGCTGGCACACGCTGCAGGATTTCAGCAGCTATGTGCCCATTAAGCACACAGGGAAAGACCGAGGGATGTGTGGACAGAGGAAGTGCCGCCTCGAGTGGCACCAGAACTGCCTCATCCCCAGGGGTTAAGAAGACATCGAGCCGAAACCCGTTTGGCTCAGTGGATAGAGCGTTGGCCTGCGGATGGAAGGGTCTCGGGTTCGATTCCGGTCAGGGGCATGTGCCTTGGTTGCGGGCACATCCCCGGTGGGGGGTGTGCAGGAGGCAGTTGGTCGATGTTTCTCTCTCATCGATGTTTCTAGTGCTCTATCCCTCTCCCTTCCTCTCTATAAAAAAAAATCAATAAAATATATTTTAAAATTAAAAAAAAGAAATGCTCGTAGGACAGAGGGAGACGTCTGCTTTGGAGGCTGTGCTGTGAGGTTGTGACTCCCGGGTACCACTCCCAGGCCACCCAGTCACAGGCCCGCGGGGAGCGGTGGCCCCTGCATGTCTGTGGTACCGTCTGCCATCCCGGGGGGAGGGCAGAGCGGGCAGGATGCAGTTCCCTCCTGACCGCGGGCCCCGGGCCGGCCTCCGCCGCCGCCTGCTCACCCGGAGACAGTCCAGCCAGTAGTGCACGTGGGCGAAGCTCTCCTGGGACGTGACGTCATACATGAGCACCACGCCGTCGGCCTTCCGGAGCAGGTGCCGCGTCATGCTGTGGTACCTGCCAGGGGGCCGTGTGAGCCGGGCCTGCAGGGCCGGCCCAGGTCCGGCCGCTCCATCGCCACGAGGGAGGGTTAGCGTTCCCTGCTTCTCGTTGCTTCCCACGACAGAGTGCACGTGCCTGCCTTCTCACACTGTGGTCATTGGCGAGCAGGTGACAGTTCTCACGGCTCAGATTGCCAAAGGGGCCGAAGGGCCCCCGTGGAAAGTCTCCCCCCGCCGCTCTGCAGCCGCCCGACCCCCTCCCCAGCGGCAGCCGGAGCCACCAGCTTCTTAAATGTTTCCCTAGAGGTGCTTCGTGCATATTCCTAAATGTGCGTGCACACACGTATCTGTGCACGCGTACACGCACCGGCCCTGGCCCTCGTTCACACAGGCACGGAGTAAAGCACTCAGGTCTCGTGGTCAGTGACCCCGGCCGTGTTTTTCTAGCCAGAGGAGGCCTCGGAGGAGTTTCCCTTCGGGCCACAGTGAGGGCCTCGGTGCTTTTGTGGCTTCATAGCATTGCATCGTGTGGGCAGACCCTGGCCCGCCTCACTGGCCGCCAGCCACGCCATGCTTTGGGTGGTGGCCAGTGCTTTGCGAGGTAAACGCTGCTGTGAACAGCCTCGGACCCTTTGATGTCAGCATCTGAGTCACCAGAGTTTCTAGACGGAAACCTCCGGGTAGAGAGCAGTGCTTTCAAGTCTCATCACTGCTAACCCTCCACCCCCACCCGGCAAGTGAACGGCCAGCGTCTGCAGGAAAGGGACGGGGCGCCGGCCTGAGGGCCCAGCTGGGGTGTCCTCACAGAAGCCCCACCAAGCCAGGGGCCTCGGGCCTCCCTGTCTTATCCACCGGGCTCTCCCTGGCCCCCCGACTCCCCGGACCCCGACTCTCCTCCCCAGCCCCCGACTCCCCGGGGTGATGTCTCTTTGGCCCACGTTGGCCTCCTCAGGGCAGGGCCTTCCCCGACCCGCCCCCCCCTCCGGCACCCAAGCTCAGCTCAGGCCACCGTGGAGGGGGGACAGGGCCTACCTCTCCTGGCCAGCCGTGTCCCAGAGCTGCAGCGCGTAGTACTTGTTGTCCACCAGCAGGTTTTTGACCCGAAAATCCACTCCTAGGGCACACAGAGAGGGTTAGCTACTCTCAAGTCACCGCCCAGGATGGCCAGCCCAGGCCAGGCCAAGTGCCCCACCCTGCCCCAGGGGACAGGAGCCTGTGGCACTGCTTCCCTCTGCTCCCCAAACCCATCCACACTCAAGGGCCCAGGTCTCCCTAGAAGCTTCCCCGACCTCCCGCCCTCCCAACCCTGGGGCTCACTGCCCTGCTGCTCTCCGTGCGGACGCAGGGAACCTCGCATTATTTTTACCTCTGTGAGCACAGCCATTGCACTCCTTAGTCCACTCGGGAAAACCCGTTTCATTGTTTTATTTTATAGCTGGAGGGGGGTCCCTCAGCCCGGCCTGCCCCCTCTCATAGCCTGGGAGCCCTCAGGGGAAGGCCATGACCCCATCACACCTCCTCTGCTGCTGCCACTGCCGGCAGCGCAAGCCTCGGCCTGCCAGCCCTGATTACCTGAGCCTCGGGCGGGCCTGGGCACTTGGGGGCTGAGCACCACCATCTTTGAGGGCGTGGCAGTCAATTAGCATATTCCCTCTTTATTAGATAGGTACTCTTTTCATATCCCAGTTACAGCATGCATCCTCCCTCCTACCAGACAGCCAGGGGTGACTGGTGGGCTGTGGGTTGTCCGCCCTCAGCCCCTGTACCTGCTGTGTGACCTCAGCAAGTCACCTCACTCTCTGAGCCTCCCTTTCTCATCACACCTGCAGGGCGGCCGGGAAGAGTAAATGACTATGGCCAAGGTTTAGCCCAGTTCCTGGGAGGGGGAGGTGCTTCTGGTCTCTCTGAACCCCGGCCCCGTTGAATTTCACAGCCCCACCCCTGCCTGAGTCATGGCTCCAGACCCTTTCTGGAAAGATGGAGGTAAGTGAAATCTGGGGGAAGTTTGGGATCTTTGGGGTGCAACTTCCTGCCAACCCCTGCTTCCCACAGGAAAGCAGGTGGGGTGGGGATGATGGAGAGGGCTTCTTTTATTTATTTTTTTAATTTATTTAATTTATTTTATTTTTTTGTTAATCCTCACCTGAGGATATTTTTCCCATTGATTTTTAGAGAGAGTGGAAGGGAAGGGGAGAGACAGAGAGAGAGAGAAACATCAATGTGAGAGACACACATTGATTAGCTGCCTCCCACATGCACCCCGACCAGGGTCGAGGATCAAGCCTGCTACCGAGGTATGAGCCCTTGACCAGAATTGAAAAGATCGTGGGCTGACGCTCTATTCACTCAGCCAAATCGGCTAAGCCAGTGGCCGGCAAACTCATTAATCAACAGAGCCAAATATCAACAGTACAACGACTGAAATTTCTTTCAAGAGCCAAATGTTTTAAACTTAAACTATATAGGTAGGTACATTGTTATTAACTTAATTAGGGTACTCCTAAGCTGGCCTTTGCTAAAAGCTCAAGGGGCCAAAGAGCCACATATGTTTGCCGACCACTGAGGCATCAGTCTCTGTTTTTCTTGATTCAGTTTTCTGGAAGCCTCTTAGCACATGATAATGGGGGGAGAGTCGGTTATTAGATGTGGGGGGGGGGGGGAGCAGGGCCTGTTGTAAGATGCCTGGTGCACTGGCTTAGTCCCCTAGTCAGCAAACTGCGGTTTGCAAGCCACATGCAGCTCTGTGGCCCCTTGAGTGTGGCTCTTCCACAAAATACCACAGCCTGGGCGAGTCTATTTTGAAAAAGTGGCATTAGAAGTTTAAGTTTAAAAAATTTGGCTCTCAAAAGAAATTTCAATCGTTGTGCTGTTGGTATTTGACTCTGTGGACTGATGACTTTGCCGACCACTGACTTAGGAGGTTACCAAGGGTGGTCCTGCAGGCCTGCCATCGGTCTCCATTCCCAGGACACTGCATCGCTCCCTGGCTCCGGGTGGGGATTGGTAAGCAGAGAAAAGCCGAGGCCTCGTCCTGGGCCTCTCTTGCAAATGGGCTGTCATCATCCTCGCATCCCGGTCACGTGACCCTGACTGACACAAAGATGGGCTCACTCCCTCTTCGTCCCGAGGGTCCACACGCTGGCCTTCCGTGGGCCTTCCACACTCAGTGGCCACACATCCTGGTCCTCCAGGGAGAAGAAGCTTTGTGCTTCGGCACGTCTCACTGGCAGGAGCCGCTGAATGAGACCTTCTCAAATACTCACACTAACAACAATACAAATAACTAGTGTGGATCAGCACTAGGTGCCAGGCATGATTCTCAGAGCTTGGTGCATACTAAGAGCTCATCCTTACAACCGCTCTAGCAAGCCGGCACCCCTGTTGTGCCCATTATGCAGATGAGGGTTTGGGGGCTCAGGAGGCTTAAGTCACTTGTGCAGGTTCCTATGGCTAGTAAGTGGCAGCACAAGATATGAACTCAGGCACCCAGCTTCCCGGAGCGCCACAAGCACCTTCTGTGTAAAACATTCAACGTGCCCAAGGCAACGCCCCCAGAGCCTGGCTGACCTGCAGGGGCTGGTCCTGACCACATGCAACCAGGGTGACCCTGCAGGGCCCTGCCTTCCCCCCAGCCATGTGGGTGGGACCCTCTAGCTTTCACCACCCATCAGCGCTGGCACCTAAATTGCAGGGTGCTTTGTTGATGTGGCACATTAAAAGCTAATCAGATCAATGCAGGAAAAGCAAATTACCTGTAATTAGAGAGGATTAGTAAAACGGTACGAGTATCCCATATAGGTTATCCAGAGCGGGGCCTGGGCCAGGACAGACTGCAGCTCCCCAGGGTGCTCGCTCCGGCCTGCTTTTGCTCCTGCTCGGCTCGCTGGCCAGAGCCCTGGGCCTCCCCCTCTCCCCCCTGCACCCCCCGCCCCAGGATGGGCGCTCACCCACTGTGGCTGTCAGCCCCGAGGCGAAGGTGTTCTGGTGCAGCAGGTGCAAGAAGGAGGTTTTGCCCACGTTGGAGTCTCCCAGGAAGATGACGTGGAAGATGTGATCGGGGTCGGCTGGAGACTCGCTGCCCGTGCGGACCCCGGGGGCGAGGGTCAGCCCAGCGCCCCCGGAGCCTGCTCCTGGGTCTTCAGGCCGGTCCTCTGCCCGAGGCGCCCGGGGCTGTGGGGGGCCTTGTTCCCCCTCGGCTGTGGGTGGCGGCCCGGGTTGGGCTTGAAGTGCAGTTTCCGTGCTGGGCAGGGTGCTGGGCAGGGTGTTCTCGGGCGGCTGGGGCCCTGCCCCACCCTTGGGCTGAGCCCCCAGAGGGGGAGAGTCCCTTGGAGGGGATGGTCTTCCAGGAGCAGGGCCTTCGGCCGCAGCCGGAGCCTGCGCTGTGTCAGCTGGGAGAGGGGCGGGCAGGGAGCGTGGCTGGGGGAGTTCTGAGCGCCCCGTCCTCAGGCCCCCAGCCTGAGCCGGCAGCTCTGAACTGAGGCCTCGCCTGCGTCGGCCCCCCTGTTTCCTCTCCTTCCCGGGCTCCTCCTCCAGACTCTGCTGTGGGGGGGCAGGCGGCCCGCCAGGCTGGGCCTGGCCAGGAGCTTCCCTCAGCCCCGCAGGACGGCCCTCCAGCACTTCCGGGCCCAGCTCACTCTGCGGTGCCACCCCCTGTGTGGGAACCTCAGCCACACCCCCCAGACCCTCTGAGGGCTCAGATAGGGGATCCTCACCCTGTCTGAAAGAGGGTAACCTCAAAGAGGGTAACTGCTCTAGAAGGGTAACCTCAGGCACACCCCCCAGACCCTCTGAGGGCTCAGCCACACCCCCCAGACCCTCTGAGGCCTCAGCCACACCCTCCAGACCCTCTGAGGGCTCAGCCACACCCTCCAGACCCTGTGAGGCCTCAGCCACACCCTCCAGACCCTCTGAGGGCTTAGATAGGGGAACCTCACCCCCCAGACCCTCTGAGGCCTCAGCCACACCCTTCATACCCTCTGAGGGCTCAGCCACACCCCCCAGACCCTCTGAGGGCTCAGCCTCACCCTCCAGACCCTCTGAGGGCTCAGCCTCACCCTCCAGACCCTGTGAGGCCTCAGCCACACCCTCCAGACCCTCTGAGGCTCAGCCACACCCTCCAGACCCTCTGAGGGCTCAACCACACCCCAAAGACCCTCTGATGGCTCAGACAGGGGATCCTCACCCTGTCTGAAAGAGGGTAACCTCAAAGAGGGTAACTGCTCTAGAAGGGTAACCTCAGCAACACCCCCCAGACCCTCTGAGGGCTCAGCCTCACCCTCCAGACCCTGTGAGGCCTCAGCCACACCCTCCAGACCCTCTGAGGGCTTAGACAGGGGAACCTCACCCTCCAGATCCTCTGAGGGCTCAGCCTCACCCTCCAGACCCTCTGAGGCCTCAGCCACACCCTCCAACCCTCTGAGGGCTCAGCCACAACACAGACTCTCGAAGGGGTCAGGCACACCCCCCAGACCATCTGAGGGCTCAGCAACACCCTCCAGACCCTCTGAGGGCTCAGACAGGGAAACCTCACCCTGTCTGAAAGAGGGTAACCTCAAAGAGGGTAACTGCCCAAAGAGGGTAACCTCAGCCACACCCCCCAGACCCTCTGAGGCCTCAGCCACACCCTTCATACCCTCTGAGGGCTCAGCCACACCCCCCAGACCCTCTGAGGGCTCAGCCACACACCCCAGACCCTCTGAGGCCTCAGCCACACCCTCCAGACCCTCTGAGGGCTTAGACAGGGGAACCTCACCCTCCAGACCCTCTGAGGGCTCAGCCTCACCCTCCAGACCCTGTGAGGCCTCAGCCACACCCTCCAGACCCTCTGAGGGCTCAGCCTCACCCTCCAGACCCTCTGAGGCCTCAGCCACACCCCCCAGACCCTCTGAGGGCTCAGCCACACCCTCCAGACTCTCTAAGGGGTCAGGCACACCCCCCAGACCATCTGAGGGCTCAGCAACACCCTCCAGACCCTCTGAGGGCTCAGACAGGGAAACCTCACCTTGTCTGAAAGAGGGTAACCTCAAAGAGGGTAACTGCTCTAGAAGGGTAACCTCAGCCACACCCCCCAGACCCTCTGAGGGCTCAGGCACACCCCCCAGACCATCTGAGGGCTCAGACAGGGGAACTTCACCTTGTCTGAAAGAGGGTAACCTCAAAAAGGGTAACTGCTCTAGAAGGGTAACCTCAGCAACACCCCCCAGACCCTCTGAGGCCTCAGCCACACCCCCCAGACCCTCTGAGGGCTCAGCCTCACCCTCCAGACCCTGTGAGGCCTCAGCCACACCCTCCAGACCCTGTGAGGCCTCAGCCACACCCTCCAGACCCTCTGAGGGCTCAGGCACACCCCCCAGACCCTCTGAGGGCTCAGCCACACCCCCCAGACCCTCTGAGGGCTCAGACAGGGAAACCTCACCTTGTCTGAAAGAGGGTAACCTCAAAGAGGGTAACTGACCAAAGAGGGTAACCTCAGCCACACCCTCCAGACCCTCTAAGGGCTCAGGCACACCCCCCAGACCATCTGATGGCTCAGACAGGGGATCCTCACCCTGTCTGAAAGAGGGTAACCTCAAAGAGGGTAACTGCTCTAGAAGGGTAACCTCAGCCACACCCCCCAGACCCTCTGAGGCCTCAGCCTCACCCTCCAGACTCTCTAAGGGATCAGGCACACCCCCCAGACCATCTGAGGGCTCAGCAACACCCTCCAGACCCTCTGAGGGCTCAGACAGGGAAACCTCACCCTGTCGGAAAGAGGGTAACCTCAAAGAGGGTAACTGCTCAAAGACGGTAACCTCAGCAACACCCCTCAGACCCTCTGATGGCTCAGCCACACCCTCCAGACCCTCTGAGGACTCAGACATGGGAACCTCAGCCACACCCCCAAGACCCTCTGAGGGCTCAGCCTCACCCTCCAGACCTTCTGAGGCCTCAGCCACACCCCCCAGACCCTCTGAGGGCTCAGATAGGGGATCCTCACCCTGTCTGAAAGAAGGTAACCTCAAAGAGGGTAACTGCTCTAGAAGGGTAACCTCAGCCACACCCCCCAGACCCTCTGAGGCCTCAGCCACACACCCCAGACCCTCTGAGGCCTCAGCCACACCCCCCAGACCCTCTGAGGGCTCAGCCTCACCCTCCAGACCCTGTGAGGCCTCAGCCACACCCTCCAGACCCTGTGAGGCCTCAGCCACACCCTCCAGACCCTCTGAGGGCTCAGCCACACCCCCCAGACCCTCTGAGGGCTCAGCCACACCCCCCAGACCCTCTGAGGGCTCAGACAGGGGAACCTCACCCTCCAGACCCTCTGAGGGCTCAGCCACACCCTCCAGACCCTCTGAGGGCTCAGCCACACCCTCCAGACCCTCTGAGGGCTCAGCCACACCCCCCAGACCCTCTGAGGGCTCAGACAGGGGAACCTCACCTTGTCTGAAAGAGGGTAACCTCAAAGAGGGTAACTGCTCTAGAAGGGTAACCTCAGCAACACCCCACAGGCCTTCTGAGGCCTCAGCCACACACTTCATACCCTCTGAGGGCTCAGCCACACCCCCCAGACCCTCTGAGGCCTCAGCCACACCCTCCAGACCCTCTGAGGGCTCAGTCACACCCTCCAGACCCTCTGAGGGCTCAGCCACACCCCCCAGACCCTCTGAGGGCTCAGCCACACCCTCCAGACCCTCTGAGGGCTCAGACAGGGAAACCTCACCTTGTCTGAAAGAGGGTAACCTCAAAGAGGGTAACTGACCAAAGAGGGTAACCTCAGACACACCCTCCAGACCCTCTAAGGGCTCAGGCACACCCCCCAGACCATCTGAGGGCTCAGACAGGGGAACCTCACCCTCCAGAACCTCTGAGGGCTCAACCACACCCCAAAGACCCTCTGAGGGCTCAGACAGGGGATCCTCACCCTGTCTGAAAGAGGGTAACCTCAAAGAGGGTAACTGCTCTAGAAGGGTAACCTCAGCAACACCCCCCAGACCGTCTGAGGCCTCAGCCACACCCTTCATACCCTCTGAGGGCTCAGCCACACCCTTCATACCCTCTGAGGGCTCAGCCACACCCTTCATACCCTCTGAGGGCTCAGCCACAACCTCCAGACCCTCTGAGGGCTCAGACAGGGGAACCTCACCTTGTCTGAAAGAGGGTAACCTCAAAGAGGGTAACTGCCCAAAGAGGGTAACCTCAGCCACACCACCCAGACCCTCTGAGGCCTCAGCCACACCCCCCAGACCCTCTGAGGCCTCAGCCTCACCCTCCAGACCCTCTGAGGCCTCAGCCACACCCTCCAGACCCTCTGAGGGCTCAGACAGGGGAACCTCACCCTCCAGACCCTCTGAGGGCTCAGTCACACCCCACAGACCCTCTGAGGGCTCAGACAAGGGGGCCTCAGCCTCCCCCTCCCATCTCTGGGAGGACACAGCCGGGAGGACTCTGGCCCCTCTGGGCTCCAGTCCTGGGGTGGAGCCCACAGTCTGAGGGCCCTGGAGCAGGGCCTCCCTCTGCCTGGGCAGCTTGGCTGGGACAGGCCCAGTCCAGGAGTCCCTGTCCTCTGGGTCTGACGTCTGGGAGAGTGTGCTGGGCCGAGCCGGGGCCTGGGCGGGGGGAGACGTCCCCTGGGGAGGAGGGCCGTCCCCCTGAGGAACAAGCACTTTGAGTGCCGCTGCCACCAGGCGCCCTGACGCCCCCGCCGGAGCCTCGGGGAGAAGTGGCTCCCCAAAGAAGCGGCTCTCGGGGCCGGGCCCCGGCTCTTCCGGAGGGAGCTCGCTGCGCGGCTCCGCGGGCCGCCCTGCCCTGCCGCCCTGCCCACCTGCGTCCTCTCCGCTCCCCTCCTCGGGCCCGGCAGCCGGCCCCGGGGGGCTCCTGGGGGCCGCATCGGGGTCTGGAGACGGCTCCCGGCCAGACAGCAGGCGGTGCTGCTCTGAGATGGAGATCTGCCTGACCACCCGTGGGGGCTGGGGGGCGGAGGGGGAGGTCGGGGTGGCGGGCGGGCTCCACAGGAGCTGCGGGGTCCTGTGCCAGGGGCTGTTGAAGCCGCTCAGGAGCTGGTCCCAGTCATCATTGTCCCCGAACAGTCCCGGCAGGGGCGCCTCCTCGGCGGAGGCTGCCTGAGGGTCCGGAGCCACCTCCTCACCTGCTCTGGGCGCGCTGGAAAGGGGGGCTCCAGTCAGGGGGCACCTACCGCACCCCAGCCTTGCCTGGGCCCTCACCTCATTGATGCCTCAGTTGCACACAAGACCTGTGAGTAGGTGTGAATGTGCGTGTATGTACGTGTGTGAGTGTGTATGAGTGCATGAGTGAGTGAATGTGAGTGTATGAGTGTGTGTGAATATGTTAGTGTGTGTGCGAGTGAGTGTGTATGAGTGCATGTGTGATTGTATATCAATGTATGAGTGTGTGTGAATATGTTAGTGCGTGTGCGAGCGAGTGAGTGTGAGTGTGTATGTTAGTGTGAGTTTATGTATGTGTGAGAGTGTGTTTGAGTGTGTGTATGTGTATATGTATGAATGTCTATTAGTGTGCGTGAATGTGCATGAGTGTGTGAAGTGCATTTGTGTGTGTGAGTGTGTGTGTGAGAGTGTATGAGTATGTGTGTGAGAGTGTGAGTGAGTGTGTGTTTAAGTGAGTGAGTGTGTATGAGTGTGTAAGTGAGTGTGAGTGTGTGTGTAAGTGAGTGAGTGAGTGTGTATGAGTATGTGTGTGTGTGTATGAGTGTGTGTGAGTGTGTGTGAGTGTGTATATGAGTGTGTAAGTGAGTGTGAGTGTGTGAGTAAGTGAGTGAGTGAGTGTGTTTCTGAATCCCAGGTGTGACGTTGGGCACTGACTCTCCCCTGCCTGCCCTTCAGTTTCCTTGTCTGAAAATGGACTTGACAATCCGCCTGGCAGTGCCGTGGGCTTTGTGGGGGGCGTGTGCTGGGGTGACAGCCAGAGGACAGCCCCCCTCCTCCAGGAGCCCTGGTCCCCACCCCACCCCCCGGGGCAGCCACTTGCCTCGGCTCCGCCTCCACCTGCCAGGACACTCGGCTCCTGGCGAAGCTCAGGTGGCCCCGGGTCGCCTGCAGCTGCCCCTGCACCTGCTCCAGCCGCGCGGCCAGGGCCCGCTGGGCCTCCCGCAGCTGCTGCTTCTCGGAGCCCGCCTCCCGCTGGGCGCCGCTCAGGCGCCTGAGCTCGGCCTCCAGCTGCAGGTGGGGACGGAGGGGGGTGAGGGGCAGAGCCAGCTGCCCTCCAGGTCAACCGGCAGCCCCCCAAGGCCATGGGGGCACAGGCTCCAGGTCCCCAGGGCCCGGCTTAAAGCAGGACTGGAGGGGTGACCCTCCTTCCCAACGGGCCCCATGCCCTCCCAGCGGAGGGACGTGGGAAATGCCGGGTGGAGGGGGCACAGGGAGCTGCAGGAACACACTGCCTGAGGCCACACCGCCCTGTCTGCAGGGAGCTCCGGGGCCCACAGCCAGTCCCAGGGAGAGCTGCTTGTCCCGCAGTGGGAGGCAAAGCCCTCCAGTGGCCCAGGGCCCTGCACAGACACCCCCGCAACCCTGTTACATCTCTGACCTCCCCTCCCACTGCCATCCCCCCCACCCCACCCCCGTCCCCGTCCCAGCCACGGGTCTCCTTGCTGTGCCTTAAACATCCACAGCACGTGCCTACCTCAGGGCCTTTGCACTCTCCATTCCCTCTGCCCAGCTGCTCTTCCCTGACATCGCATGGCCCACCCTCCCCTTCTCCAGGTCTTTACTCCAGCGTCTTCATCGACCAAACCCCTCTGTTCCCCGGCCCTGCTTTATTTATCCTCCTCGCACTTTCCTTATCTGACCTGTTAGGATTTTCCTGGCTGGTTTTATCCTCCGTCTCCCTGGCTAGACAATGACTCCGCGGGCAGAGGCTTGTGTCTGTCCTGGTCCTCAGAGCCTAGACCTGCCTGGCAGGTCCGGGTGCGTCCTAACTGGCTGCTGGGTGCGGGATGAAGGGCCTGGGGCAGAGCTTCGGGGGGCAGAGCACCATGGCCCCACATGGAAGTCCGGCCTTCTCCCTCGGCGGGAGGGGCCTGCTGCCTCGGGGGCACTGGGGCACCAGCCCGAGCGGGAGGGCGAGGCAGGCGGCCGGGCAGCCAGGCAGCGGGGAGAGCAGCCGAAGGGATGCGGGAGCCCGTCACCACCGCTGTGAGTTACTGTGGGCGGTGGTTGGGAGTTGGAGGAAGAGACGGGGAGTAGGGAGGGGGACAGGGGGCAGGGTCTCAGACCAAAGACTCAGGCACAAGGAGATGGGAGTGGCCACTGGCTGCCGGCCCAGGGTCAGGGCAGCAGGTGCTGTGCCCAGAGCCAGGTCAGACTCAGAGACAGGAACAGCCATGATGGGTAAAGCTCCGGACACGTCACAGCCGTTTTCTAAGAACCGAGCCCCACTTCTCTGTGGAGGAAACCAAGGCTCGGGGAGGTTAGAAACCTGCCAAAGTCGCTCAGCTGCCCACAGAGATGGAGACGGAGCTGGATGCCAGCCTCTCCAGCGGCGAGGCCTGGGTTTGCCCTGCATTTCCTCTCCTCAGTGCTTTCCATTTATTGCCTCCTAGTGGCCCAGTGCACGAAATTCATGCACAGGGGGGTGTCCCTCAGCCCATCCTGCACCCTCTCCAATCTGGGATCCCTCAGGGGATGTCTGACCCTAAACCAACAGTCGGACGTCCCTCTCAAAATCCGGGACCGCTGGCTCCTAACTGCTCACCTGCCTGCCTGCCTGATCACCCCTAACTGCCCCTCTGCCTACCTGACTGCCCCCAACTGCCCCTCTGCCAGCCTGCTCACCCCCAATTGCCCCCCTGCCAGCCCGCTTGCCCCCAACTTCCCCCTGCCAGCCTGATAGCCTTCAGCTGCCTCCCCACCCCCCTCAACCCGTCAGCCTGCCTGGGCCCCACCACCATGGCTTTGTCCAGAAGGACATCTGGAAGGTCTCCTGGTCTAATTAGCATATTACTCTTTTATCAGAATAGATGTTACACAACCAGCCTGGGAGATGCAATAGATGTGGCCAGTCCCATTGCACAGGTGGAGAAACTCAGGCCAGGCAAGCAGTGATTTCCTCAGATTTGCTTTGGAACCACAGGGATTGGAACCTACCCCTTCTGGCTCCTGTCCCGGTGCTCCCATGGCCCTACCTGGCCTGACCTCAGAAAAGGGCCCGCCACGCCTTCCCAGGGGGCCGCTCTCTGAGGAGGCGGGGTGCCAGTCTGAATGCTCAGAGACGGCCGGGCCGCGCACTCACCTCCCTCTGGCCCTCCACCAGCCGCTGTGCCTCCTGCTCCTTGGCCTCCAGGACCTCCTGCATCTGGGAGCTGAGGGCCAGGTCCCGGGACTCACTCTGCGGAGAGAGAGGCCTCAGGCCCTGGGCGAGGGTCTGAGCGCTGGCCAGGCTCACCGCCACCCGGGCGGGGGCGCAGGGTCCCCACAGAAGGGGTCTCGGCCTCGATTGTGACAGCAAGGAAACCGAGGCCCGGGAAGTGGGACCGGCCCCAGGGGACAAAGCGAGGCCCGTACTCCTCACCCATCTCCCGGTCAGGGATGTGCGAGGACCCATCCCAGCCACCTCCTGCCACCCCACCCCGGCGGCGCCGGCCTCACATCTGGGCCAGCAGAGGGGTCCGGGCCGGGGAGGGCAGGCCGCTGGGAGCCCACCTTGGCCTGCAGCTGCTGCTTCTGCCGGCCGATCTGCTGCTCCATCTCCTCGTACAGCCGCTGGACCTCGCGCTGGTGGTCAGAGTCCCGCCTGGAGGGGGGGAGGGGGACCGGGCAGCGCCTCAGTGCCCCGGGGCCCTGCTGCTGCCAGAGGACCTGGCTTGGAGTCCATCTACTGCTCGCCTCGCTTGGGCAGGGACCCCTGACCCTCGTTACCCTGGAAACAGTTATCCCAGTAGCAGCCCCTGACCCATGCGCCCCTGACTCCTGGAGCCTTCGCCCTGTCACATGGTTCCCATCTCTTCACACCTGTCCCCACACCCCTCTGTCCCCACACCCCTCTGTCCCCATCCCCTGCCTCCATAGCTCAGACCCCCGCAGAGCTGTGCCCATGCCAACCCCAGGGCCGCCCCATGCAGTGCCACCTACATGAGTGGCGCTCTTGGCGTCGGCTGCCACGGGGGCATCCCACTCTCACCAAAGGCCGACTCTGTCCTCCCCAGCCCCCGGTGCCAGCCCTTCCTCCAGCCTCTCTCTGCCCATCCCAGCTTCCAGGCCCTGCGTGGCCTTGGCCTCCATCCTCCTGCCGCCGAGGGGATCCCATTAGGATTCAGCGAACACGTAAAAAGCTCCCACTGCATGCAGACAAGTGGGCGCGACCCACAGCACTCACTTCCTCAGGGTCAGCTCCAGAGACTCCTTGTCAGCCCGGGCCTCCTGCAGGCGGCTGGTCATCTGCGCCAGGAAGCCCTCCAGGTTGCCCGCCAGCTGGGGCTCCTCCTGCCTCAACTTCCCCCACAGCTGCCAGATCTCCTGCCTGGGAAGGGGGAGCCCGAGCTGAGACATGGGAGGGGGGGCAGGAAGCAGAGGCCCCGTTCTCCACATGAATGGCAGCACTGCAGGAGGCCGGGTGCCTGGGCTGCAAACATCCATTGACCCCTGTGGGTGCCACCAAACTCCACACCCTCCGGGAGCCTCTCCCAGGAGTGCCCTCTCCCTCCTTGTTTTCAATCCTCCCCCAAGGATATTTTCCCATTGATTTTTAGACAGAGTGGCAGGGAGGGAAAAGGAGAGGGGGGACAGCGAGAGAAACATCGATGGGAGAGAGACACGTTGGTTGGTTGCCTCCCACACACACCCCAACCTGGGGCTAGGGTCAAGCCTGCACCTAAGGTATGCGTCCTCGACCGAAATCTAACCCGGGACCCTTCAGTCCGCGGGTTGACGCTCTAGCCACTGAGCCACACTGGTGAGGGCTGCCCTCTCCCTTCTTGCACCCCCAGAGTACCTTGGTTCTCTGTGGTTTGGGGATTAACTGTGGGGAGGGGGACTTGGGAGCCCGACGGCCCGGGGCCTCAGCTGCCTTCTCGCTTCCCCCGCTCCCCAGCTGTGTGATCTTGGGCAAGGGCCGTGCCCTCTCTGGGCTTCTTTGTAAAGTAGGGAGGCGGGTACCTGCCCAGCAAGTTCTCCAGAGCATGAGACACGCCCGGGGAGAGCGCGGCTGGGGCCTGGCACAGGCTGGCACCGAGCCAGGTGCCTTCGCATGGACGTCACTGAGCTGTGAGGACGGTGCCAGAGCGAGAGCAGGCCAAGCGCCAAGGAGGTGACTGGCTCCCCACCACGCCTGGCCCTGCAGCCTGTACCCCACGCCCCACCCGGCCTGCCACCCGGGGCCTGCCCTCGGAGAGCTCGTTCCCACAGCCCCGTGGGGCCGGGACCCCCTGCCGCTCTGACCCCCAGGGGCAGGTGGGGTGTGTGGGAGATGGGGTGTGCGGGAGGGGCCCTTTTAGGCAGGGCCCCCCTTCTCTGAGCACAGGTAACCCCAAGAGCCCAGAACCAGAGCCAGTCTGGAGGAAACGCCGTCTGTCTCCAAATCTCCCGCCCCGCACCGTCCTAACCTCTTTTGGGGTTAAGAAAGGCACCCTCAAATGTGAGTCCCCTTGGGGGGCTGCCCCAGCCCGGTAACCCTTCGGAGGAGGGATTGTAGGGCAGGACAGAGCAGGGGAGGGGGCGGGGGCGGGGCCCGGGCCTGGGGCGCCTCCTGAGCAGGCATCTCCACAGGCTGTATCTCTCCCCAACAGCTCCGCGCTCACTCTGCAGCCGGGGAGCCGAGGCCCGGGTTAGGCCACTTGCCCCAAGTCACACAGCTAACAAGTGGCCAAACCAGAATTCGCACCCAGCTCTCCGGGCAGCTCCCCACTTCCACACGGTGTCCAGTGAGGCCTGGCCTACACGGACTGGCAGCGCCCGCCCCCCCTCCGCCCCCCCCCACTCCACACACGGAGCCGGCCTTACTCAGGAAGGGAGTGGCTGCCCCCCAGCTGCTCCATGAAGGCAAGGAACGCCTCCTTCTCCTCCGCATCCGCCTCCTCCAGCACCGGGAAGCTGGTGGCCGCAGATCCCCGCTTGGACCACAGCGGCCTCCTCCCGCGGACCCTCTGCGTGCTCGGGCTGGAGCCGAAGATGCTCTCTGTGCGGCAGAGGGGGCAGGAGGGAGGGGAGGGGGCTGGGCTCAGCCCCGGACCCCTGGCCCCTGGCCTTGCCCTGCTCCAGCCCAGGGGGAAGTAGCTGTACCGGTTGTGGTCACAGTTATACCAGATGTTTCTGCACGCCTCATGTCAGCCTTGGGAGGCTACGGGCGGCAGCCCTGTGCCCGTTTTACAGGTGAACAGGCGAGGCCCAGAGAGGCCTAGAGTCGCTGGAAGTCACGCAGCCGCTCCATGGTGGCCAACACATTCTTCGTCCACCCAGAATATTTACTGAGCACAGAATATTTGTGTGCTGGGGACAAAAGTGGCCCAAATCCTTGTCCTAGTAGAACTGACATTGTAGGGAGTGCTGAAAAGGACACATTTTCTAAAAAGTAAATTTGCTAAGTGAGCTAGACATTAGAGCGAGTGGGTAGGCGTGCCCTGAGGGCGTGACGTTGGGACCGAGATGAGAACGGCAAGAAGGAGCATGTCCTGTGCCTTCCTGGGGAGGCGGATTCCAGGCAGAGAGAACAGCACGTGCAAAGGTCCTGAGGTGGGAAACAGACTGGCGCACCGGAGGAGCGAGTGGCACTGAGTGAGCCAAGAGGCTGGCAGGGGTGCAGACTGAGCTGCACAGGCAGCGGCGGTCCCTGGGGCGCTGGGCAGGACTGGATACTGACAGGAAGATGGCCTTGGGTGGGGGGGGGGCATGGACAACAATGTTCCCTCTGCCCCCACCCCCGATTCCAGACTCCAACTCCCCTCCATCCCAGCTTCCCCATCACCAGAGCCAGACACCCACCTCCTGGGCAGCCCGGACCTACAAATGCAGATCCCTGGCCTCCCTCTCTGTTTCCTGCCAGAGACCAGCAAACTGAGAACCCCGGATGGCTCCGCATTAATGTGAGGCCAGCTGGGCTCGGCAGCGGCTCAGAAGGACATCACACCTCCCCTCCCTGGGCCAGGTCTTTCCCTCGTCCCCGCCACCCCCTCTCCCCGGAGAAGGGGGAGCATCGTTCCCTGCTGGTCTGGTCTCTTTAGGTCCTTTGGGGCCTGGCCGAGAAGCAGGGGTGGAAGCAGCCCAGCTCAGTGAGGACTAAACCCTTCGCTGCTCCCTGGGCCCTAAGTGCCCGTCACCAGCCAGGCCGTGAGCATCACCAGCCAGGCCATGAGCGTCCTCAGAGGGAAACAAGCCTGTGGCCTCAAGAGTGGGGGGCGCTTAACTTCTCCCTCAAGGGAAGCCTTCTGCTGGGGAGAAGACAGGGAGGCATCGGAGAGCAGGCCTGGCAGCCTCTAGCGAAGGGGGATGCGGAGCGGGTCCCCCAGCCGAGAACGGCTCTGGCCGGTGGGAGAGGAAGCCACCCGATCGATCTCCGGGGCTAGAGTCCTAAGGCTCAAACCGCCTGCCTTCCCGCCGGGCTGAGGGTCCTCGTCTCCAGTCCCCAGGACTGTCTTCCACCCCTGAGCTCTCGGGTGCTGGGAGGGCCCCTGGTTGCTAAGGTGTCACCGTGGCCTTTCCGTCAGCCCAGCCTGGCCCGTGCTGGGCTCCCGGCAGGGACGCCTGCCCGCGGCCAGCCCCCGGCGCCTCCCACCGGGACAGACTTACTGAGCCCGGAGCTGAACTCTTCCAGGGAGAGACGTCCCTTCCGCTCCAGGTCCACCCAGTCAAAGATCATCTCTGGCTCCTCCTCGCTGCTCAGGAAGCTGAGCTTGGCCGCCTGCAAGGAGGGGGGAGGTTGGGTGCTGTTCCCACTGGGCCACCCCCACCTTCCCTCTCCCTGAGGCTCCGGACCCGGACCCTGTCCCAGTCGGCCTCAGCAGAGCCTTGAGCTCCTCCACACCTTCTCCCATCCTCCCTCCTACGTCAACATTTGCCTGTCCTGAGTCTCTCCCTTCAGGGCCCTAATAAAGGACAGTAGGGAATCCGCCCCAGATGGTGTTGATCGGTGTCCAAAAATTAACGTGGAACTTGGCAATAAGTCCCCGAGGTGGACAGCACGTTCCTCAGGGCAAAAGCCGCCGAGCATCCTCTAGACGAGGGATGGACAGACTTGGTCGCAGGGAGCTGACGAAAGGGCCCAGACTAGAGAACGTCACAGGTTCACGTGTAGGTTTCGTCCGAGAGAGATGTGAGCGATTTCTGTCCAAAGGAACCGGTAACCCCAAGGATGTATGGCCTATCAGGCATTCACCAGCTTTTAAAGCTCTAACTCAGCATTTCTAGCATTTCCTTGTTAAATTACCTAGCTTTTTAAATGCTCTTTCAACCATTCATAGCCTCTCTCAATTAATGATTTAAATGAAATCTGTGATGATCCATCTTATCTTTGCCGAAGGTTCATGAGTCTGCCTTTTGGGAGGGTATGTTTGGACCATTTGGGAGGTCCCGTGAGGATGCCCAGTGGACTCGCTGTCAGAACCACGGAAGCTGCTTTGTTGGGGAATGACAGGCACCTCTGGGAGCGGGGAGGGCAGCCTGACTGTGACTGAGCTTTAAGTTCGCCGACTCTGTGTCTCTGGGGTCCTTTTTGCTGACTGTGTTTTCATGTTGGTGGCAGCCACGGTGGGGGAGACCACAGGAAGTCGGATTTGCCCATCTTTTGTTGGAGGTGGAAGTGTTTGCTTTTCTAGGTGTGACCGCCCGCCACTTAGTTACAAGTTGTGCCCCCACTGGGAGGGAGAGCAGCTTTTTGAGACCTGGACTGGTGAGTCTTTCTGTCTCTGAGCTGGCTTTTTTTTTTTTTTTTTTTTTAATATATTTTATTGATTTTCTATAGAGAGGAAGAGAGAGGGATAGAGAACCAGAAACATCGATGAGAGAGAATCATCGATCAGCTGCCTCTTGCACACCCCCCACTGGGATTGTCCCCGCAATCAAGGTACATGCCCTGGACCGGAATCGAACCTGGGACCTTTCAGTCCGCAGGCCAATGCTCTAGCCACTGAGCCAAACCGGTTTTGGCTGTGCTGGCTTTTGACCCATGGCTGGAGTTGCAAAAATAGCCAGAGTCACTCTATGTTTGAGTGCCTACACGTCTGTAATCAGAGAGGCATTAGCTCTCAGTGTGGGTGTGAAATAACTTCCTACTTCTGGAGGTATTGACAGCTTCAAGTGAGGGGGTCCGTATTGATTGGTTTGTAGAGACAGCTAAGTGCCTACATAAATCTGACGTTTCCTGAAGTCAGAGGAAATAAAGGAACCAAATTTCTATGCTTTATAAGTACTCAGCTTTTTTTAAAAAGTTCCCTATACAAGAAGTTGTTAGCTCAGAAAACTCTTAAGGATTCAGGTTCAATAATTAAGGTGAATCTTTGGACAAATGAGATTAGTTTTAAAATCTGGGTTACAAGAGACTGATAATAGTTATCTGTGTTTTCTCTGATTTATATTAAATATAATACAAGTATACATTTTATTTTTTACTAGAGGCCTGTTGCAGGAACATTCCTGCAAGAATAGGGCTTCCTGCGGCCGGCCAGTGCGAAGCAGAGAAGAGAACAAAGCCCACTCCCTTCTCTGCTGCCTCCCTCCCTCCCTTCCCTGCTGCCTCACTCCCTCCCTACCCTGCTGCCTCACTCCTTCTGCAGCCCTCGGCTTCCTTCCACACTGTCTTCAGTCTTTGCTCTGTGCCTGTGTATGCAAATTAACCTCCACCTTTGTAGGGTTAATTTGCATAGTCTCTCCTGATTGGCTAATGGGCATGTTCCAGTCATTTTGCATGTTTCTCTTTTATTAGTGTAGATAAGGCCTTGATATAGGTTGTTGGGTTTTTTTTTGTGAAGAAACTAGTTCATCTGGATGTCCTGCACTTCTTATTTTTGTCTTTCTGATCAAATAAGTTAACATTATCGGTACGTAACTTTTAGGATTATAAAAAATGTTAGAATTGTACACCTGAAACCCATATAATTTTATTAACCAATGTCACCTAATAAACTTAATAAAAAGTAAAAATAAACAAGTACATGCCCTGGCCAGTGTGGCTTGGTTGGTTTACCATTGTCACATGCACTGAAAGGCCACCGGTTTGATTCCTGGCCAGGGAACATCCCTAGGTTGTACATTAGTTCCCTGATTGGGGTGCATGCAGGAGGCAACCAATCAATGTTTCTCTCTCCCTCTCCCTTCCTCTCTCTTTAAAATAAAATAAAAAATACATTTAAAAATTAAACAAATAAACAAGTACATAAAAAAGGAAATATATTAAAGAGAAAAAAATTAAACCCTAGTTGTGCACTCTGAAGAAAAAAATTATAACAACGTAAATTTGTGTTCAACTGAATTGATTAGTTATTCTAACAAATTTTATATCAACAGTACTTATGTTTTACTGTAGTATGTCATTTCAAACATAACTTCCAAGATCTTCAGTAACATGAAAAACTTGAGTTAATACTAAATTAATTAAGAACATATGTAATACTGAAAGTTTAACTGCTAAGCATCATCTTAAGTTTGTGTCTTTTTGCTTCTTCCTTTTATGTGCTGGAGAGCAGCTGTACTTTGGGCCGTGTTAAAGAGTGAATCCATTTTGACACTCAGATAGTTGTGCAAGAGAAAGCAGGGACCAGGGGGCTATTTGTACATCTACATTCAGAGCAACAGTATTCACAATAGCTTAAAGACGGAAGCAACCCAGGGGTAAATGATACATGAGATGTGGTAGATACGTCCAATGGGACACCATTCAGCCTTAAAAGGGAGGAAAATTCTGCCATGTGCTACAACAGGAATGAACCTGTGGACACTGTCTGAGCCCACGTACATGAGGGAGCTGCAGCAGCCAGATCACAGCAACAGAAAGTAGAATTGGGGAGGGAGGAGACTAGCAGTCAGTGTTTAATGGGCCAAGTTTCCTCGGGGGGAGAAGCAGTGTTTCTGGAGAGAGGTGGTGGTGGTGATTGCACAACAATGCGAATTACTTAATATCACCGAGATGGCAAGTTTTACGTTAGGTATATTTTATCACAATTTTTTTTAAGTTGTGCAAGGGACATGTGTGACTGCAGAAAGCTGTGTTAGGTGTCCTTGTGAGCTCTGCTAGTCCCCGAAAATAAGACATCCTCCGAAAATAAGACCTAGCGCATGGAAAGATAAGACATCCCCTGAAAATAAGACCTAGCACAACTTTGGGAGAAAAAATTAATATAAGACACTGTCTTATTTTCGGGGAAACAGGGTACTTACCCCCAGTTCACTCTGAGGTCAATTACTTTGGTTAAAAGTTGTAGTCACTGTGGGTGTCTGAGTCTATACTAGGAACAGAGTGACAGAGACATCCACTGTGACTGCACAGAACACGGGGTGTGTTTTTGTCCTGAAGAGATGAAGGAAGTGGTTTTTGTTTTAACGTGTCCTGGCCAGGGAACATCCCTAGGTTGTACATTAGTTCCCTGATTGGGGTGCATGCAGGAGGGGTGCATGTTCCAGAACATGAAAAAATATAAAGGCCACAGCCTGAATGGATAGAGTCACAGAAGGTTTACTGAACGGGAGGGAATCTTTTTGCCTTGATTTATAATACCCGAGTCTGAAAATAAGCTATGAAATAGGTTAACATTTTGCCAAATTCGCCTCAGTTTTGATGGTTTTTAAAAAATATATGTTTTATTGATTTTTTTTTCAGAGAGGAAGGGAGAAAGAGCGTTAGAAACATCGATGAGAGAAAAACATTGATCAGCTGCCTCCTGCACACCAACGTACATGCCTTGATTGGAATTGAACCTGGGACCCTTCAGTCATAAGGCTGACGCTCTATCCACTGAGCCAAACCTGTCAGGGCTTGATGGGTTTTAAAATAAATTAAGTCCTAGCCAGTTTGGCTCAGTGGATAGAGCATCAGCCTGCAGACGGAAAGGTCCCGGGTTCAATTCCGATCAAGGGCACATGCTCTTGCAGACTCAATCCCCAGACGGGAGCACTCAGGAAGCAATCCATAGATGGTTCTCTCTCATCATTGATTTTTCTATCTCTCTCCCTCTCCCTTCATCTCTGAAATCAATAAAAACATATTAAAAACAAGTAAATAAATAAACAAACTTGTGAAACTCCCTTGTGTTATATCAATGCAAAACTAGAGTTGGGCTCCATCTCTATTAAAATGACAGGCTTGTTTCAGAGCCCTTAGCCAGTGTCAGAGACAGGCTGCTCTCCATCCTGTGTGTGAGCTGCCCAGATGATGGATTCCACTTCTCAGCAGAAAAACCCCCTCTGCTATGCTTGCTTTATCATATTCTATTTCAGAAACAAGAGCCTAAGGAACCTCTCTTATGAAAGAGCTCAATGCCCTGCAATTGTGTCACCTTCCTCTATGCTTATTCCAAACGATTGCACTTTCTTGTCACTTTGATTAAACAGGTAACCAAGCAGTACTATTTCTCAGGCTCCTGTGAGCCTGCCTTAAACTAGTGGCCACATTTCTCTGGTAGCTCTTTTGATTTCACCTTCCAATATCAGATCCTAAATTTAGGTGGGGAAAATGAAACTTCAGGATATCTTTCCATATATTATCAAATACTTCACCTCTATTTATAAAAGCATGATGGACAAGAAATAACAAGCGTTGGTGAGGTTGTGGAGAAAAGGAAACCCTTGTACATTCATGGTGGGAACATAAATTGGTGCAGTCACTATGGGGAACAATATAGAGGCCCCTCAAAAAATTAAAAATAGAGCTCGGCCAGGTGGCTCAGTTAGTTGAAGCATTGTCCCATATATCAAAAGAGTACAGGTTCGATTCCAGGTCAGGGCACATACCTGGGTTTGGGCATGCGTCAGGCAACCCATTGCTGTTTCTCTTTCACATTGGTGTTCTCTCTCTCTCTCTCTCTCTCTCTCTCTCAAATCAATAAACATATCCTTGAGTGAGGATTAAAAACAAAATTCAAAAGTTTAAAAATAGAACTACCATATGATCCAGCAATTCCACTTCTGGGTGTTTATCTGAAGAAAACGAAAACACAAATTCGAAAAGATAGATGCTCCCTGTGTTCACTGCAGCCGAGACATGGGGACAGCCCAAGCCCCCAGCGATGGGCAGATGGCCAGAGAAGATGGGGTGTACTGTATACCTATGCTGTATATTTGTTTTAATTTTTAAGTTCATTAAGATTAATGAACACAATTGTGTTTGACACCTGCTTCTAAAAAAATAAGCTGATCATTATCAATAAAGGATATTGTAATCTTTGTTGCCTGTAGAAGAACACGAAAACTGAGGCTTTAACCTGTAACAAAACCTGATAGTAAACGTGGCTCAGGTGCAAAGCAGAAGAGCAGTGAAGAACATCAGCTCAGAAGAGACGGTGGGCTTTCCTGAGCTGTTTATGGGAGTAAAATGCCATTGATACAACCATAGGGATTGTTCAATGCCGTCCCCGCCTCAGGGGAAACGCCGGTCAGCCCTCACCAACAGCCTGTCCCAGGAGAGAGCTGGGCTCTCTGCCATTCCGATGCTGTTAGTTACCGTGACTGACAGCCACCGCGCTCAGTCTCGCTCCTAAAGAAGCTGTGCTTTGCCCGGAGGCTCGGTGGGCAGCGGCTGCCAGTCTGTGCTCCCGCAGGCCAGACTGGAGCTGAGGGCGGGCTGCGCCCAGCTCTTTGGCTGCCGGCGCTCCCGGGGCAGGACTGCCCGCCCTCAGCCTGAGCCCGCAGCAGCTCTCCCAGGGTCCAGCGGAGCCCAGTGAACGGACCGAGTGAACCGTCCAGGTACTTGTTGGGAACACAGTTGGTGTGATTTTTGTGGATCTGTCTTCCTGAGCTGTCTCCAGCCTTCAGCTGAGTAGGCCATGGCTTTTGTAAATGGAAATTAAACATATTAAATGGTACCTTCTGGTTCAGAAACCTGTACTTTAACTCTCCACGCCACATCGCCCTGTGCACAGGTTCAGTGAGAGCCTGTCCTCCTTTGCGGAGATGGTGAGATAAGTCAGTTGTGTAAGGGGAGTGTCATGTGGAGGGTGGTTCCCACCCAATCAGGCGGGACAAGTCCACCGTGAGGAGCACGGAGCCCAGGCCTGCCAGGCCTCCGAGGGCCCAGGTGACGGGGAAGGCCGATCTGGGCCGGGGGGGGGGGGGGGGGGACCCCAAGAAGAGAGCCCCTCACATTCTGAGCCTGCAGACAAAGCTGGTGGAGAGCGAGAGTCTTGGGTTGGTTCTTGGCCTTAGGACAGACGTAGGGAGCCCAGAAGGGGCCACATCCCTGGTGCCCGCCCCGGCAAACTGGGGCGGATGGTCACGCCAGATCGCAGAGCCACGAACAGAGATGGTAAAAGTCTGAAACTTGGGAATGAGGAAGACAGACCCGGGGAATGCACTTATTGTAGTTCCTCTCATTGTTTACCTTGAATTCAAAGTCCCAGACTCCTGGTTACTCGTTAACTTGCCGGGTTTTGTCCAGGAGAGATGGAAATAGTTTTGCAGAACTGATGTCCCCCAAGATTGATGGCTGTTGGACACGAGCCATTTTTAAAATCGAACTCAGCAATTTTATCCTGACACTCCTCTGTCAGATTGCTTATACATATCCCAGCTCCTCGAATGCTCTCTGAACCTGTCGGAACATCTTACCGGTTCCCTTATTAATTAGTAACAATAATTAATTAAGTTAAGACCTTTGATAAGGGCTGATTTTATATTTACTTCAGTCTTTGTTGTTACTCTTTTGAAAATTATATTTGAACGTGGGCCGTTCAGACCACTTGCGGCCCTGAGGCGGGGATGGGAAGGGCAGCTTTGCTGGGCGAAGGACAAAGTCCGGAGCCGGGAGCAGCATCGGGAGGAGACGGCAGGCCCAGCGGGACCCGAGCAGCCCGCAGGGGCCCCTCTGCAGGGAGAGAGGAAAACCCGGGAAAAATCTGCCCACCTGGTCGGGGCCACGGCCTCCTTATCGGGCACACGACCACGGCTGACCTTATGTTTCCTTCACGTCTCCCATCCTCCACAAGGTTAGGTGTCCAGGCCCCTAACCAGACTTCCCTGCTCCATGGGCCCCAAGTTATATCATTTGCAAGTTAGTTCTTTGGCTTAAAGTCCTTCCCCCTGTCAAAACGTCACTGTTGCTGAAGGAGGATAACTCACAGAGCCTTGGCGGTCGCTTGCACGTTAGTATAAGCCAGTGGTCGGCTGCTCTGGTGACTAATGAGTTTGCCGACCCCTGGACCAGACTAAATGGTGCCGTGTGGTTGGAAGCCGTGAGGATGAGGCGGTTGTGGCATTCTGTGTGCAAAGAGGTAAAGGGTGGCATAGGACAGTGGTCGGCAAACGCATTAGTCAATAGAACGCAGTTTGCCGACCACTGGCCTAGCCTTTCTGAGGTCAGAGTTCAGCTGAGAGGAAGGGGAGGAGCAGGCGAGCCCCGCAGTGCTGGGTCCGAGCCCTGGAGGGGGATCGGGGAGGGACGGGTCTGACTCACCGCCAGGTCCGCGCGGGTGACAAAGCCCCTCTCGGCGGCCCCGCAGGCCTGGAAGAAGCCCTGCAGCTCCTCGGCCGCCTCCGGGGGCCAGGGCTCTGGAGCCGCAGGGGCATCCTGGCCGGCCGCGGGCTCCCGCGTCAGCCGCCGCCGGCTGGAGCCCAGCTTCCGGCCCTTCCGGGCGGCTCTCTGCCCCGGCTCCATGCTGCTGTGACCTGGGGAGGAGAATGGCGAGGGGTCACTGCCTGCTGCAGCTGCTAGCTTCATTACCCGCCCCCCGCCCCCCGGCTCCCCGTTAGCCCTGGAGAGACCCCGCCACGGCGATGCCGCCCGCCTGGGCCCCGCTGGCCTCGCTGCCCTCTGGCCTCAGCGCAGCCGCCCAGGCCCTGCCCGGGTTCGATTCCATCCAAGGGCATGTACCTTGGTTGCAGACACATCCCCGGTAGGGGGTGTGCAAGAGGCAGCTGATTGATGATTCTCTCTCATCGATGTTTCTAACTCTCTATCCCTCTCTCTTCCTCTCTGTACAAAATCAATAAAATGTATTATAAAAAGAAGAAGAAGAAGAAGAAGAAGAAGAAGAAGAAGCAGCAGCAGCAGCAGCAGAGGTGGCGGGAGCAGCCCCTCCCGGCTCCGTCTGTCGGGGCCCAAGGCCGCAGGCAGGCCGGAAGGCGGGAGCCCTGCCTCAGGAAGGCGGGCTCCCTGCAGGGACGGAGCCACTGGCCCAGCGCCCCTCGGGCGAATTTCCTCACTCGGTTCGAGGCCGTGGCTGCAGCAATCCTCCCCCCGGGAGGCCCCAAACTTTAGTGCAGTCCCTCCGCCTCTTCCTGGCTGTGTGTCTCCACCTGTGTCGCTCCTCTTTGCCTGCCACTCGGGCCTGCATCCTGTTTCCCATCACAGACGCCACAGGGCAGTGGTGCTGGGCCCGGGGGCGCTGTGAGCCCACTGGCACCTCCGTCTCACCCAGCGGCCATTGGGAAGCGGCCACTGTGGGAGCATCGACTCCGTGCGAATCCCCCAGAGCAGCAACCCGCACCTCCGTGAGACCCCTGCCCGCCCTGCCCAGAGCCACACTTCACTTCGGCGACAAGACCAGGATGAGCAGGTGCACGGGCCCCCTCCGGCGAGCGCTGAGCGAGGACCCGGCTCCCTGCCCGCTGGCAGAGTGCCCTCCGCCCCTGGTGTGGAGAGGGGCCCAGAGGAGAGGGGAGGCTGGGCTCTGGGGTCAGGCTCTGCTCTCCGCCCTGCCGCTCGCCAGCGTGACCTGGGCAAGCCACGTGCCGTCCCGGGCCTCAGTTTCCCCACGGACCGTGTGAGGAGCCTTGCTCACCTCGGGGTTGGGGTGAGGACTAGATGAGATCCCTGAAGGTGAGGCGCCACCCGCTCCGGCTTCACTTCCTCTGAGCACTCGTCACCTCCCAGAATAGGCTTTTCTTTTTTTTTTTTAATATATTTTATTGATTTTTTTATAGAGAGGAAGAGAGGGGGATAGAGAGCCAGAAACATCGATGAGAGAGAATCATCGATCAGCTGCCTCCTGCACACCCCCCACTGGGAATGTGCCCGCAACCAAGGTCCATGCCCTGGAACAGCATCGAACCTGGGACCTTTCAGTCCGCAGGCCGACGCTCTATCCACTGAGCCAAACTGGTTTTGGCCCAGAATAGGCTTTTTTTCCACTGTGTGCCGGTTCCCTCTCCTCGCAGGGACACAGCCTCCGTGAGTGACAGCTCACCCTGCTGCTCGCGGCTCTGTCCCTGGGCCTCGCCACCGCGGCATCCGCCGACCCTGTGCCCGGCGGAGCCCACCGCGCCCGCCCACGGCGACGGGCAGCGCCGTGGAGCTGCCACAGGGAGAGCTGACGTTCCGTTTGACCTCACCAGAGCCGGTGCTGTGCACATGCGCCTTACACCCACCTGACAGATGAGGAAGCTGAGGGAGCGGGGAGGGAGGGAGGGAGGGAGGCTCCAGCCTCAGAGCCGGGTCCGCCATGCCGTCAGTACCAGGACCAGCGCCAGGCCCGCCCCCCGGGGTGGCCATGGACGTGACCATCCCCGCGACCACGGCCTGAGGGGTGCCTCTTGGCGTCAGGAGGCCCATCTGGGAGTCACCGGCCCTCAGAGCAGCAGCCGGAGGGACTGCTGGGCAGAGGGCTGCTGGGCAGAGGGCTGCTGGGCAGAGGGCGGGCTTCACTCGGGTGGCGGCATTAGGAAACTCGGGTTTCACATGCACTTCCGCCGAAGGAGATAGCAGGAGGTGATAAAATTCCCATTGCGGAAGCTTCTAGAACCGCAGTGTTGGGGGCAGTGTCTCCTGAGATGTAGAGTCTGTCAGCGCCACACGTCAGGGAAGCCAGGGTGCTGAAATGCATCCCTGCGGCCACATGGCAGGACACAGGAGGCTCTCCACGTGCTTTGGGCGGGGGGTGGGGTGGGGGTGGGGTCCCCAGCTGCACTTCTGGCCGCTCCCCTCGGCGTCTGGTGCAAAAGCAGCGCCCACCCCGGGAGCCAGGCTGCCCCCTTCCCCGAGGCCATGCCGTTCCTTGCCCGTCAGGAGCCCAGGCCAAGGACAGCAGGTGCCTGCAGCCGCCCTGCCCAGAGCACGGTGGCCGGGCCCGCAGAGCAGTGTCTTCCCCAGCGGCCTCCCCCTCCCGCCCCTTCGAGGAGCAGTCTGTGCCCTCAGGGCCAGGCGTGGCCATCCAGAGGCGGGGCACCCTCCGTCCATCGCACCTGCAGCTCACCTCCCTTCCCACCAGCTCACCTCCCTCCCCACCAGCCCACCTCCCTCCCCAGCAGCTCACCTCCCTCCCCAGCAGCCCACCTCCCTCCCCACCAGCCCACCTCCCTCCCCACCAGCTCACCTCCCTCCCCACCAGCCCACCTCCCTCCCCACCAGCTCACCTCCCTCCCCACCAGCTCACCTCCCTCCCCAGCAGCCCACCTCCCTCCCCACCAGCTCACCTCCCTCCCCACCAGCTCACCTCCCTCCCCACCAGCTCACCTCCCTCCCCAGCAGCCCACCTCCCTCCCCACCAGCTCACCTCCCTCCCCACCAGCTCACCTCCCTCCCCAGCAGCCCACCTCCCTCCCCAGCAGCCCACCTCCCTCCCCACCAGCTCACCTCCCTCCCCACCAGCTCACCTCCCTCCCCACCAGCTCACCTCCTTCCCCACCAGCTCACTTCCCTCCCCAGCAGCCCACCTCCCTCCCCACCAGCTCACCTCCCTCCCCACCAGCTCACCTCCCTCCCCACCAGCCCACCTCCCTCCCCAGCAGCCCACCTCCCTCCCCACCAGCCCACCTCCCTCCCCACCAGCTCACCTCCCTCCCCACCAGCTCACCTCCTTCCCCACCAGCTCACTTCCCTCCCCAGCAGCCCACCTCCCTCCCCACCAGCTCACCTCCCTCCCCACCAGCTCACCTCCCTCCCCAGCAGCCCACCTCCCTTCCCACCAGCCCACCTCCCTCCCCAGCAGCTCACCTCCCTCCCCAGCAGCTCACCTCCCTCCCCACCAGCTCACCTCCCTCCCCACCAGCTCCCACCCGCAGCCAGCCTTGTGGTCACCTCAGCCCCAGCTCTCACAGCCCCTGGGTCACTCAGAACCACAGGCCCGGCGTCAGCAGCAGGGGCACCCTCCTGAGCGCCCCTCCCCCTCCCGGATCCTCGCTACCTCACGCCCTCACCGGCCAGAGCCCCTGTGACCAGGAACGCACATGCGCGACCCTGCAGTGCGACCCCTCTCCCACACTCCCGCCCAAGTAATCTAGCCAGGTCTGGAGTTGGCCCCGGAGTCACAATACAGTGTCTGCGGGTGCCCGGGGCCTCCCTCCCCCTATCCCCGTTCCGTCACTCTCTCAGCAAAGGGCTGAGGGGCTGGGTCCGCGCTCACCCCACTCACCACAAGTACAAATGACGATGGCCACAGACCCAAACTGCCCAGCTGATGGTCTGAGCGCCCACCTCGCGCCTGTTCTAGTCCACTCACCTCTCCTCCCTCCAACCTGATAGAGAAACCGAGGCTCTGAGAAGCCAGATGAGTTGCCCCTGGTCATGTGACATTTAAAGGCAGGTACTGTACCCCAGTCTCCTGCCCAGGTGCCCTCCCCATTAAGCCAGGGAGAGAGCCCCAAATTCACAAGGAAAGAGGACTAAGCCCTTTGCTTCCTTGTCATCGAGCTGGCTGGGGCCCTGCTGCCCCCCATCCTCATCCCTCCAAAGCAAAGCATCGCCACGGGGGCGGCTCCCACCTCAGGCTCCGTGCTCCACCTGTGCCTCCTGCACCTTCGGGCCTCCTGGCCTCCCGGGCCTCCCGGCCTCCTGGCCTCCTGGGCCTCCCAGCCCTGTTCGAGGAGCTCGCGGGCAAGCGATCGCGGGACTGTTAACAGTCTGTCTCTTGCTTCATCTCTCTTCCGCTCCCAGCAAGCGGATCTCCTGTGCTGATCTCTGAGACTTCCTGCAGAAGTGGCTACTGTTACCTTTCACAATCCCGCCTGCTCCTCCCAGGCCTCTGCTCCAGAACCTGGGACTGAGAGCAGGCAAAGCCGGGAGGGAAGTCCCTCTAAGGGGGGGCTCTGAGCAGCGAGGTGGACGGCCTGCAGCCAGCCAGCCCTCCATGGCCAAGCCAGAGGTTGGACTCTATCTCTGGTTGCCATGGCGATGCCGCGCCTTATCCCGGCCAGCGTGTTAATGGGCACAGTTATGGGCACGCTGGCTGTGAAGCTGCACACCGTGCCTTACCTAGGCCCTCACTGCCAGACAGTGCCGTGGAATCCCAGGAGAGCTTACAGCTAGGTCACCTGGTAGAGCAGGGGCAGGCCGCGTCCAGCCCGAGGGCCATCTAAGGCCTGCAAAATCATTTGGTCTGGCCCTACCAAGGCATTAGGGATGAGTTAATTAAACGTTTGACCAAATATAGCAGGCTATTTATTTATCTGTTTGTTTATCTATTTGTTTTTTAAAGGGAGAGAAAGAGAGAAGCATCAATGATGAAAGAGAATCATTGATCAGCTGCCTCCTGCACTCCCCACTCTGGGGATCAAGCCCACAGCCTGGGCATGTGCCCTGACCGGGAATCAAACCGTGACCTCTGGTCACTAAAATATATACATGGGAACTTAGTGTATAATAAAGGAGCATGTTTCAAATCAGTGAGGAAGACGGTTTATTCAATAAACCATTGGAAGATTGGCTTAGGTATTTGCAACAGACAAAGTT